TACCCCCCCCCCACATCTCCAACTCAAATTAAATCCAAAAAATTAGTTCATTTAATGCAGAATTACTGGCATGACTAATCCCGTTATTATCTTGTTTGATTGCGTTTGGGATTTTGAACTTTTTTCTGAACAGTTCTTCAGGACTGTTTAAAAACAGGCAATATTTGATATAAATGGAAATTACCTAAAGTGTTATGCAAGGCCGGTGTATATATTTTTGAAAAATCATTCCCCCCCCCGTGCCACTTCTGAAAATAATTTTTCCTTTTCGTATAATGTAGTTTATTTTTCTGAATTGGGAGAAAGAAATAGATTTTTGGTAAAAGTATAAAAAAAAGAGGTAAAACAAATGCTTATTATGTATAATTTTACATTTTCCCAGAGATTTGAAATTTCGGGCTTTTCAAAGAAACATAAATTCTATTTTGTGACCCCTTCTCCGAAATAAAAAGATTCTTTAACACTTTTTCTCCGAACCTACCGCGGATAAAAATGGTTTAAACGATAAGGAAAATAGATATAACATGAGTTTTTTATACTTTATTTAGAAGATATTCTCTTCATTGATTTATTTGTCTTCAGGGAGTTGAATTACATACAAACACAGATGCAAAAAGATCACAGGAAAACAATAATTTCAACTAATAAAATAAAAACTAATAAAAAATAAAGTGTTTCCGACTTTTTAGGACTAATATGACTAGAGCTGAAAACTTCAGAATCGTGGATATTGAGATTAATGCGTGATCCTCTCTTTTTAATAATATCGAGACTAACCTAATCTTCTACTTGTATCCTGAAAAGTGAATAAAATTCAACCAATCAGAGTTGCGTATATGAAGCCGATAAATTTGAAATTTTGCGCGCAATTTAAGATTATATACAGAAATGGGAGGAACACTCTAATTTAGAAAAACCGGTTTATGATTTTTCTCCACTATATCCAAGAAAGAACGGCTTAAGAAGAAAATCTAAAGTGTGTTCATTGGATATAAAACCCGTTGAGGATCAATGCTTAACTCGTAAAAATTCAAAAGGTGGAGAACAATGTTTGATCTCGAGATTCACAATAGAAAAGTTCTGACTTTTGAACATTTTATATTTAGGTTAGAATAGAAAGCGAGGAACAGATGAAGCAAGTTCTAGAAGAATATGAAAAAACCATATCAGAGCTGATAGCTGATAATAAAGCAGAGAAAACTAAACTAGAGGTAAATATTAAAGCTGATAGCTGATAATAAAGCAGAGAAAACTAAACTAGAGGTAAATATTAAAGCTGATAGCTGATAATAAAGCAGAGAAAACGAAACTAGAGGTAAATATTAAAGCTGATAGCTGATAATAAAGCAGAGAAAACGAAACAAGAGGTAAATATTAAAGCTGATAGCTGATAATAAAGCAGAGAAAACGAAACAAGAGGTAAATAATACAGCTGATAGCTGATAATAAAGCAGAATTAACTAAACTAGAGGTAAATATTACAGCTGATAGCTGATAGTAAAGCAGAGAAAACTAAACTAGAGGTAAATATTACAGCTGATAGCTGATAATAAGAGAAAACTAAACTTGAGGTAAATATCAAAGCTGATAGCTGATAATAAAACAGAGAAAACTGAACTAGAGGTAAATATTAAAGCTGAAAGGAGACTTACTCATTAACACCTTGATTGATTTGTCTCAAAATGTTGATTGGGAACTCGAAAGAACCACGGATATGTTTTAAGCTGGGGTTAAATAACTATTTATAACCCTACTGGTTGAAGGGAGGCGAGGTATAAAGTATTTGAGCCAAAAACTTTTCTTTTTCAAGAGGGTTCGAGACTTTTTTGGTTAAAAATCGCATCAAAAAAGTCTCGAACCCTCTAGAAAAAGGAATGTTTTTGGCGAAAATACTTACCCTTCAACCAGTAGGGTTTTAGGTAATTTTTTGCCCTGAAAATTATTAAGAAATATGAATTTAAATGTTAAAACTATCAAAATAAATAAATACACAAAAATGGCACGTCAATTATTTAGCATGTAATAAAGTTTAAACTTTTAAAAAGTACATATTATACCCATGTATATAAAGTATCTAAAAGTTAAGGAATTAATTAGACGACCTTTCAATAGATTTTGAATCGAAATAAAACAATTGTAGGATTAAATATCTAACATATACACAAAGCAATATAGTACAATCCATAGTGATGATTTTCTCCCATCCCAGGCCTCCAGGGCTACCAGTAATGAAGAATAATAATCTGCTTCTCCTAGAGTGTGGAAAAGATGCAGAACAAAAATATTATTTCGGTTTTACTACATTTATTGATTTAGGGTTCCCTGGTATCCCAATTTCTTAAGATCCCAGTCTACTTTTCTACCATAAGCATAGGACCGTCAGGGTTTAACCTACCTGCATTTCAGAGAGCTTTGTTCTATTCTCAAATATTAATGCTGGAAGATGATCATTCAAAAAAATAATGCGGGAACTTCATAGCAAAAAAACGCAAATATTGAAAGGTGTACTCAGCTGGGGTGATATTTATTTCTTTTAAACCCATAAGAAAATAGTGAAAATTTTACCCAAGCTCAGCTGGAAATATATGGGTTTCAGGATATGTTCACCATGGATTAAAAAGAGGCGACCCAGGGCATAAAATCTTAGTTGAGTGTGTTGGGTTTTATTATCTAGAAAGTTAGTTTTATAAAATGTCGTTTTCTCAACCCACTGATAATGGAATGCTGCAGATATTTAGTTTCTTTAATTGAATAATTACATGAAGCTCTTTAAAACTGTTCCCGCATATTCCATGGCTATTTATTTATTTTTACAATTATTGAGATTCAGGTTTAATAATGTAAAATCCATTTTAAAAATGTCAAGACGACGTTTTATAAAGTCTTTTAATGTATCTGAAGGTCTGCAGGTATGCAGTTTGTGTAAGATTTAAGGATATCAGAGATCTGTGTTTAGGAGGAGTTAAATAAGATCCAGGAATTGAAGGATCAGGCCACTGAGGATCTGTAAAACTAATCCTCTGTGTTTAGGAGTAGTTAATTAAGATCCAGGAAGAGAAGGATCAGGCTACTGAGGATCTATTAAACTAATCCTCTGTGTTTAGGAGGAGCTAAAGAAGATCCAGGAAGAGAAGGATCAGGCTACTGAGGATCTATTAAACTAATCCTCTGTGTTTAGGAGGAGCTAAAGAAGATCCAGGAAGAGAAGGATCAGGCTACTGAGGATCTATTAAACTAATCCTCTGTGTTTAGGAGGAGCTAAAGAAGATCCAGGAAGAGAAGGATCAGGCTACTGAGGATCTATTAAACTAATCCTCTGTGTTTAGGAGGAGCTAAAGAAGATCCAGGAAGAGAAGGATCAGGCTACTGAGGATCTATTAAACTAATCCTCTGTGTTTAGGAGGAGCTAAAGAAGATCCAGGAAGAGAAGGATCAGGCTACTGAGGATCTATTAAACTAATCCTCTGTGTTTAGGAGGAGCTAAAGAAGATCCAGGAAGAGAAGGATCAGGCTACTGAGGATCTATTAAACTAATCCTCTGTGTTTAGGAGGAGCTAAAGAANTTTATATTTAGTGTCAGCCATCTTCTTTATATCTAGTTTCATTCATCTTGTTTATATCTAGTTTCAGCCAAATAGACTTTAGTACAATAGATGGTAACGTAGAATTTGTACACTCTCAGTACAGTTGTAATCTGTCGTCACAATTGTCAATTCAGGTTTTGTGTTCGACAAAATCATCAATAATAGTGATAATTTTAGAATAAAGTGCTTTTCTTACAGTAAAATAAGTGCAATTTTATTTGTTCTTTAGTTTCTGTTTTTACACTTTTTTATTTAATTTTGGAAAATATGTCAACTAATTTGAGAAATTTCGTTTTTTGTTATATTTGACACTTATGACGTCGTGCATAATTAGTTAATTTCTCTGTTGTAACCTATTGTACTTGATAATCTATTTGGTTTCAGCCATCTTGTTTATATCTAGTGTCAGCCGTCTTTCTTACATCTAGTATCAGCCATCTTGTTTATATCTAGTTTTAACCGAAGGTGTATCTTTTGACCTATGCATGTATGCTATACTATACTTCTGACCTACACCACATACGCTATACTACACTTCCGACATACTAGCAAGTGGTTTTACAGGTGTAAGTTGGACATGTGATAGCAGCACCCGGCCCACTAGACTGTCCTAGCCGCGGCGCTCGGCCTCGAAAATTGTCTAAATCTAATCTAACCCTAAAAAAATATAAAATAAAACAGCTGTCGTAGGTCCTATATTGCAGTAGATCGGAAGTTCAGTAGAAGGGATATTGCGTATAGAAGATGTAACTTTACCTGTTAACCTTCTTGTTAATATCTAGTATCATCCATCTTAGTATCATCCATCTTGTTAATATCTGGTATCATCCATATTTCTGATCTTGTGTGGTTAACTGATTGATTATCTGATAGATTGATTTATTGATTTACTAAATAAATGATTTATTTATTGTGTTTTGTTCAGGATGCCGAGATAGCTAAGCTGACTGCTCGCCTGCGTAAAGCTGAGATGCAGGCTACTAGGTTGGAGAGGGAGGTGGACATGAAGGCGAAGGAGAACCAGGAGCTCACCAATATATGTGATGAACTTATCAGCAAGGTTGGATCTTGACACAACACAAGTACAGACAATCAGGCGCTGAGCGCTCATCCCTCGAGTTCTCAGGAGTCGTATATCATGCGTTCTAGACCACCTGGTTCTCCGGGATATACCAGGATATCAGGTCAACCTAGACCTGGTTCTCCTGATTTTACAAGGATATCAGGACAACCTAGATCTAGATCCTCCACCTCACGTCCAGTAGATCCTAGCTCCTCTCCTCTTCAACCCCACCACGTGACCCCCCGGCGTATCCGTGATTATACTAGTGATCAGGAGAGTAGGGATAGAAACTCTAATCTTACCAGACCCACGCTCCGCCGTCAAAATACGTTCTCTCTCTCCTCCAGCCGGAGACCAGTCTCAGACGGGTTTTACGACTCCAACTCCCGAACTTTGGAGCGTAAACCGAGGCCCGTTTCCGGATCGGCGACGGGGGAAAGGATAGAGATATCGCAACGGCAAACCGTTCGATCGTTGTATCGAAACTCCGCGCCCCCGGACTCTGCTGATTCATATCGGCGGGAGGCGGGGCGAGAGGCGGAGTTCCGCCGTAGTTCTCACGCCAGTTGTCATGTGAGGGTTGAAACACCGCCGATGGGGCGAAGGTTCACTTCGTCGCCGCGTTCGCGAAAAATTTGACGCTCCATCTCTCTTCAACTCTTTTAGGCCATTACCACATTTAACATTTTTTAAGTATGTTTAGTTTGAACACTCTTACACATTCGTTTATAATCAAACAAAGTTTTTGTGATTTAAGATTTTTTTGTAAGTAAACATTTTTCCACCTTAGGGAATTTAGTTTCAAACTTTTCATAGCAGTTATCATATTAACATAAAAGATAATCTGTTAAAACTGTCTTGACAATCAACAATTTTTTATAATACTCAAACATGTCACTTCTATAGATTTTAAGAAGAAAACTTGGTGGTAATACGTATCTACAAATGCATTTATCAGGATAAAGAATTTTAGATTTATCGTTTTTTCGAGGCTTAGTGTTGCACTAACATTTGCTGTCACATTGTTTATGAACTTTAAATTTTTATTTTGATGTACTTAACTTCTGATACAATAAGACAGTAAAAAGTATTAAGACATGACTAAAATTTATTATATTTTTGGCGATAGTCAAAGAAATTTAATTACTTGACCCATTAAATGTTATTACGAATTTAATTACTGCAATTGTGTGATAATTGAGCAAATTAATTTATTAAATTATTGTTCACTTTAAACAGAGCATTTATTAATTATGAATGTTTTATCATGTCAGGGACTTTCGAGGTAATTTTCAAGGGATATCCCGCTGATTAAGTGGCATGTTCGATTTACAACTGTAGTTTTTTTTAACCTTCTGTCTTATCAAGGTTCTAGATATCCGTAATTTTCTAACTGAAAGCTGGGACCAATAAAAGTATTTTCTAATTTATCACATTATTTACGAAGGTATTGTGTTTTCAGCTAGATTAATAAGGATATCTTCGTCATCCTTAGACTAAGGTATAAGGGTACCATTGTGAATCGGACTTTGCGCTCTACAAACTGGGGTTCACCTGAAAATGCGTCAGCAGTCCCTTTAATTTGTATTTTATTCAATTAAAACCGTACAGTACAACTAGTACAACTAGTACACGTAGTACACGTTCACATAGTACATGGAGTAGAAGTGTACATTTATTATGTCTAATTAATAAATCATTGTAAAGAAATTGTTGTTTTTTTTGTCGGACCTATCATAGTTGGTTGTATTGATGTTGGTAATTGACAGTTGATTTTACAGTTATATATTGTTTTTGTATAAATTAATTCACTAGTGCGGATGAAAAAATATCTTAAAAATATATGAAAATGGGTATCAAAATTTCAGTCTTGAAACTCTGTAATTTTGAATTAAAGTTGCAAAAATTTACATCGTTTTGAATTAACGTACAAGCTTAAGAAAAGAAAATTTATCCGGTTACATATAAGAAATTATAACATTTTTTCTCGATAGCTTTTCAAAAACGGAGTTATTATTCAGAACATAAGATTTTAATCTTGCGAGTAATTTACTTTAGTGTATGTGATGATTATCCGTTAATACCGTTTCCATATCATGTTTTTCAGGAACCGTACTATTGGAAATATTTCAAGATTAAATTTAAAATTTCTAAGCTAAGTGAGAACTAGAAAACAACTTTAGACTTTTAGTGGTCCAATTGACATGAGACGCAGCAATAGAGTAGTGTAAACAGACCCATTTCACTAAATTAAAGCTTTAATACAGTGAAACCCTTAATAACGAATACATTGGAAGAATTTATCAAATGTCGTCTTGACAATTTTTCAATGAGTTTTATACTATATTACTTAAATTTCAGTATTTGCGAAAATAAATAAATAGTGGAACAGTTTTAAAGAGTTCCATATAATCATTTAATTAAAAAACTAAATATCTGCAACATTCCATTATCAGAAAGTAAAGAATACGACATTTGATGAATTCTTTCCATGTATTCGTTATTAAGGGTTTCACTGTAGGTATCTAGAAAAACAACTTGCTTTGTAACATCAATAAATACACTTAGTATTGCTATAATGTCGTCTTCGTGTTCCATTGTTTTCTGGCTATCAACGTATCTAATTATAAAGTTTGTCAATTTTTCTACAGGGTGTCCAAAAAAACATGGGAATTCAGTGACGAATTCGTTATCGTCTTTGTTATGAATTAGCATTGTAATACCTAATTTCAAAAGACATGATATTTTTATGTCTGCTAGAGTTTATGTTATGAAAAGGGTAAAAGACTTTAAAGATGTGTCCATAATGTCTCCGCAAGATGAACAGTGAAGACGGACAAGTTTATTCTGTTTGTATACTGCAATTTTCTTGTTTTACTAAGTTCAACCGTATGCAGTCAAAACATAAACAAACAAAATGTGAACATAACAGACGAAACTCTTACAGATTACAGCTTTCTCAGTAGGTATCGCTATACTAAATCAAAGAATTATTTAAAAAGACGATATCGAATTCGTCACTGAATTCCCATGTTTATTGGAACACCCTGTAGTTTAAAACTTTCGAAGTATATTATCACGGTTCTATGTATTCTGTAGGATCGTGTATAGATGATAAGCAATTATTCTGACGAGTCATCATTTAATCAATTCACTATCGTGTAATGTAAAGTGGAAAGGGATCTCATGGTCTCAGAAAAAGGGAGAATTAGGATGAGAGCTATAAATGGACTCAAAATCCCTTTTAAAGGGAGAATTAGGTTGAGAGCTATAATTGGACTTAAAATCCATTTTAAATGGAGAATTAGGTTTAGAGCTATAAATGGACTTAAAATCCCTTTTAAAGGGAGAATTAGGTTGAGAGCAATAACTGGACTTAAAATCCCTTTTAAAGGAAGAATTAGGATGAGAGCCATAAATGGACTTAAAATCCCTTTTATAAAGGGAGAATTAGGATGAGAGCTATAAATGGACTTAAAATCCCTTATAAAAGGAGAATTATCGGGAAATCATGTTTTTAATTTTAGATTGACAAAGGTTCTATTTTAGTGTCTTGTAATAAAATGTTGAATAGAAACGGTGATAGTAACGAAGATTCTTATTTTTAATTTAAAAACTAATCATTTCCAACTGTGGTTTATTTTCCAATATTTTCCTTCTATGTTTTCAGATACAATTTAAAGGATACCGTTATGAATCGGAAATGCTACATTATTAAAGTGTATTTATGGTTTATCCTTTACTCCCTTCCTAGTTTTTTCCCATAACAGTTCATTAATGAAACTTGACACCCCTCCCAACTTCACACTTTTCTGAAGTAGGTCTACGTTTTCTTATTTTAATGGACGGAAAGGGAACTTTCACTGAATGCAGTTCAGTGGGGTCATTTCGAAAAATCTTTAGATTATTGTGATACAATTTTTCATTTTAGCTTTATTTTGTTAATCTTATATAATAAAGCTCTTTGCTCATATATAGATGTTAGCTATAGCTGGCCAAACGGCTGGACCAAGTTGGCTGAATTTTTTTGAGGGAACCCAGGGGTACACTGAGGGTGACATAGGCAAAAAAAAAATTTACTTTTTTATTTAACTTTAGTTATTAGCTAGTCATACATTCCAGCTTTTTTCTAGTAAACTAAATAAATAATACACTTAAAAACAGCCTTTTTGACCTAAGAATTACTTTATTATCTTTAAAAAAGTTAAAGATTTATCTCAAATCTGATTCATAAGGGGGGGGGGTGCCCCATCTGTAGGATCACAGAGGGGCACAAGTAAGAGCCCGGCCCCCCTTCTCAATCCCTGATATAAGAAAAGAACTGATCTAAAGTTTGAGGATGAATATTCTAAGAATAGGAGAATAAAAAAGTAAAGGTTGTGTTTAAGCTAATCAATATAAAGGTTAGAATACGTTCATCAGTTCATTCTTGTTGCTATCATAGAATACAGATCATCGGAGCTAAGAACGTTAGTGTTAGATACTCATAATCCCGATATCTACTGTGGGTACTTTTAATTTGAGGATCTATAAAAACTAACCTTTTATAACTTTATTTAAGTTATTTCTCTCCCGTTCAAAGCTCACTGTAACCCATGACTGGGTACAATTACACTGCGGTTATTGAATAAACATTAAATTAATCTGCAGATTAACAAAGATCGAGATCATGCAATACAAGAGCTCTCACCTCTAATCTAACAATTTAAAATACTTGGGTTAACAAAAACGATTTAAAATAACAATTCTAAAATTTTTTTGGAATTACTCCATAACGTTCTCAAAGCTAGTACGTCATTTATTTGAAAAACCCTTGAAAAATATGAATAATAAGCACATGACCTTTTTTGCTTTTTTAAAAGCTCTCTAGCACCAAAACCATTACGGTTTTTTATCTAATTTGTTTAATAAGCTAGCCCTGGAAAATTGGTTCACTTAACTCCCCCCCCCCTCCTGAGTCTATAGATTAAGATTTTATAGGGTTTAAAATAAAATGTGTGCAATTAAAGAAAACAAAAGTACTTCTACAAAATACAATTTAAATTAATTTTGTTCATTTTGTTCAAAAATTTTAAAAGCCTTTTAAATTCTAACAAACAACTTCCTTGCGCATCACTAATCAGTAATCAATTATATGCAGAGATGGATTAAAATTTGTTTAAGAAGATAAAATGGAATTGAATGAGGAGAGAATGGATTGTAGACTGATGGATTTAGATGTTGGAGACATGAATGAATTTATGAATGGATTAAAGGCATGAATTCATAACATTTTTTTCAAAAAAAATTGAATAGAACACACATGAATTAGAACTGCGAAAAAAAAAGTTTTTAAATTTATTTTAAGTTATTATTTTATTAAAAATTGAAAGAAACGTCATTACAGTATAAAGATGCAAAGATGTCAATGCCCGATTCACAAGAGTATCTTTGAACCCTTTATCTGATCAATAATGTGGAAGGTGTGGGCGTATTCACAACAGTATCTTTGAACCCTTTATCTGATCAATAATGTGGAAGGTGTGGGCGTATTTCAAGCTTTAAAAGTGTTTAATTCTAATAATTCATGTAAAAGTGTAATGCTTTTCTGTAGAGAAACCACAATTGAAAATAATCAGTTTTCAAGATTATAAACATGGATAATTAATTCATACTTGATCAAAGCTTTAAAAAATCAAGGGTGCCGTTATGAATCGGACATAGCCATCTTTGAGTGGAGGTGCACTTGAAATTTCACTCACTTTCTCTTTAAAGAGTAAACTGTTATGAAGTTTCTTTCAATTTTTAATAAATTAATAACTTAAAATAAATTTGAAAAATCTTCTTTTTGCTTACATGGCTTTTTATTGATTTGTTATGATAATTTTTTTTAAAGAGCTGTGATGACGGTCTGGAGACTAGTGGTGTGAAAGTGTCCTTTATATCACAGGCAAACTTGTTCAGCTAATTTACCCATACTTTATTTTCTTTAAATCTTAAATTGTTCAAAAATGTTAAATAGCCTTTAGTTAAATTTTGTTTGGATAAGTTAGATATTTTCACGGACGGTACTACATCTACAGTACAGTACAGTACAGTACAGTACAGTACAGTACATTACAGTACAGTACAGTACAGTACAGTACAGTACAGTACAGTACAGTACAGTACAGTACAGTACAGTACAGTACAGTACAGTACAGTACAGTACAGTACAGTACAGTACATCTACTGTAGGACGGTACTACATCTACAGTACAGTACAGTACAGTACATCTACAGTAGGACGGTACTACATCTACAGTACAGTACAGTACAGTACATCTACAGTAGGACGGTACTACATTTACAGTAAGAACCAGAAAACTGGAATAAGAAGACGACATTAAATCAATTCATAAATGCCTGTGATGTTGTTACACAGCAAATAGGTTTACTAGTAACTTAACAATTGCTGTGTCTCATGTTCATTTGAATATATAACGTAATAAGATGAGTCTAAAAGTCGTCTTTATCTATTTCACGTTTTTCTTTTTCTCACTGTACATCCATACGCGTTTTTTTTAGTTTTTTTAACTACTATGAGTAATATACAATATTTTTTAGTCTGTCAAAATTCGAGACCATTCCCTTTATGAGCAATTGTTTTTTTTGTGATTTTAAAGGGGAGAATAAATTAAAAATATAAAAAACTGAACAAATTTGAAGATATTCGAGAAATATTACTTTCTAATGGAGTATCATAGAGACAAAAGGTAATCAAAGATATACATACAGGGTTACCTGGATCAGATATTAGAGACGACAACATGGAATTTATACTACTATCTATCTTATACTACTATCTATCTTATACTACTATCTATCTTATACTACTATCCTTATATTCATGATTCCCTGTAACTGTAAATGTTTCTTTCTTTTACAATTCATTAGATAAGCCATAAAGGGAAGGCAATATTCAAGGCAGAAATCGTCATATTCTAAGAGCTCCAAATTTGGAATATGTTAAATCTCTACCCGAATTAAGTTAAATCTCTATCCTGGATCAAGTAAATCTCTACCCCGGATTAAGGTAAATCTCTACTTCGGATTAAGCTAAATCTCTACCCCGGATTAAGTTAAGTCTCTACAATGTATTAAGTTAAGTCTCTACATTGTATTATGTTAAATCTCTATTTACCGGATTAAGCTAAATCTCTACAATGTATTAAGTTAAATCTCTACCCCGGATTAAGTTAAATCTCTACCCCGGATAAAGTTAAATCTCTACTTCGGATTAAGCGAAATCTCTACCCTGGATCAAGTTAAATCTCTACCCCGGATAAAGTTAAATCTCTACTTCGGATTAAGTGAAATCTCTACCCCGGATTAAGTTAAATCTCTGCCCCGGATTAAGTAAAATCTCTACCCCGGATTAAGTTAAATCTCTGCCCCGGATTAAGTTAAATCTCTGCCCCGGATTAAGTTAAATCTCTGCCCCGGATAAAGTAAAATCTCTACCCCGGATAAAGTTAAATCTCTACCCCGGATCAAGTTAAATCTCTACCCCAGATTAAGTTAAATCTCTACCCCGGATTAAGTTAAATCTCTATCCCGGATTAAGTTAAATCTCTACCCCGGATTAACATCTATTTCAGGGCTCAGTTTCATTTGCCATAATACTTTTGCCATAAATACTTTTGCCATAATTACATTTGCCATAATACATTTGCCATAAGTAACACTTGCCATAAATTACACTTGCCATAAGTTACACTTGCCATAATGGTTACACTTGCCATGATTACACTTGCTATAATTACACTTGCCATAATTAAAATTTGGTTAGAATTAACAAACATATAGATATATATTTTTTAATTGTGGTCTCAACGGTGCTCCATTGTGAGGAAATATGGAGCTGAACTTGAGTCCACTAGTCTGCTAAAAACAATGAATTAGAATTAGAAAATTATGACAAAAGTAATTATGGCAAGTGTAATTATGGCAAGTGTAACAATTATGGCAAGCGTAACTTATGGCAAGTGTGACTTATGGCAAGCGTAACTTATGGCAAGTGTTACTTATGGCAAAGATATTATGGCAAGTGTAATTATGGCAAAGATATTATGGCAAATGAAACTGAGCCTATTTCAGGGCTGACAACTTCCCCCTGATGTCCTCTGTATGGCCGACTCTAATGATCTGCATATCCTACATTATAATCGTCAAGTGGGCTGGACCCAGGTAATTACATTCAATTAATCTGGGACCGAATTTGATGAATTGGAGAGATTGCTGAACTGACTACCTCCGGTTTAAATCCCGAATCCCTGATTCAAACCCTCATAAATCTTGAACTTTGAATTAAAGATCACAGATGTTATGAATTCTGTATAGAACAAGAACAAGTCCGTCATCCTAGTTCAGTCGAAGGTTTAAAGGCTACTATTGAACAAAGCACTCAATTACGCCTACAGTCGTCCAGGCCCGTAGCTAGGAATTTGTAAGGGGGGGCACAAAATTAAAAAAGCATAGATGTATAAGTAGGGGGCGCGCTGCAATCGAAAAATTAATTTTACCTGAAAAAGTAAAAATAACATAGTATGGGCGCGCTGACGGTGAACATTTTTTTTAACCTAAAAAACTACTCAATAAGGCTCAAAATTAATAAATGCAGACTAGAAAATTAGATCTTGAACTTATCACACACTATTAAGAAAGATATTTTCCCTGTTTTCTTTCCCTTAAGTGCAATTCAGAAGCTGTAGGGTGTCCCACATCATATTAGATCTTTTCAAGCTCAAACTTGTGATTTTAGGGACTAACAGAAAATTAAAAAACAATAAATCACTTTAAAAAGTTTAAGATTACTATAAAGGTTTTCTTGCAGAAAATACTAAGATTTTCGAGGATTAAATGTGCGTATTTTGGCCTTAAAGCTTGTAGATAATCTAATATGATATGGAACGCTCTGTATGTGCATCAAAACTTGGCAAAAAAATGGAGGTATAATATGTAGACGTTTGAGTTCAACTATAAATAAATGTACTACTGAACATTATTGAACCATGAATTGAAGTTCAACTATAAACAAATGTACTACTGAACATTATTGAATCATGAATTGAAGTTCAACTATAAACAAATGTACTACTGACCATTATTGAATCATGAATTGAAGTTCAACTATAAACAAATGTACCTGAACATTATTGAATCATGAATTGAAGTTCAACTATAAACAAATGTACTACTGAACATTGTTGAACCATGAATTGAAGTTCAACTATAAATAAATGTACTACTGACCATTATTGAATCATGAATTGCCTGAAGATTTTCATACTTGAGCTTTTCTTGATATTTGGCATTTACATCATTTACTTATTTTCTTGAAACTAAAATTTGAAAAAACTCCCCTGGAAGCTTGAGGAATAGTACAGACAACTTCTCCTAAACCTGGCCATATTTTGTTTATTATCTAAATTTCTCTCCATGTTATTCTTTGCAGTACAATGGTTCATTAGAATCATTTATTTAAGAAAAGAAGGGATAAGCTGCTCAAAATACAAAAAACAATTATTTAAACCCTGTCATTTCACAAGACAGGATAGAAATAAAAATTCCCAAATAATTTATTTCAGAAAGCACTTAAAGTTTTCATTAATTTGAAGAAAAAATAATCCTTTAAACATAATATTGGTGACAAAAATAAGATTTTATGCCAATTTTCTTCCCTTTTTCCTTCTTTCTTTCATTTTTTGTTTCCTTCTTTTGATTTTTCATTTTCTTTTTTGTCTCATAAAGTGTGCCCCCCCTATTGGGGGTTAGAGGGGGCCCGTGACCCTGGGCCCCCTAGCAATGGGACTGTAAACAGTCCCTTTGAGTGCTTTTTGGTATGCGGATATATTTTTCAAATTTTAAAAGCAAGATTTAAAAAAAACTTCTTGAACAAACCAGAAGAAACGGTCACAAATTCAAGATTTGGATCGGAAAATATTCTTTTTCATAATGAACGAAACTCTGCGAATTGCTAAATTTTGCAAGAATTTTTTATCAGCTTAAAATTTAAATCGAATATTTAAATTGTGTCAGATTGATGAAGGATAGGAACCCCTTAAACATCAAGGGTTGGATGCTTCTCTACAATATCTTCCAAACTCTCTTCTCTCTCTGGGGGTTCATTCAAGGATGGAAGTAAGTTTTAAAAGGCACTGTCCATGTGATTTAAAGTAACCTTCTCTTCAAAGAAATCAACAAATATAATAAAAAGAGCTTCAGTAAAAACAGACATTTTTTTGCCTACACTGATAACATGAAATAGGAAGACGACTTTTAGAATCAAGATATAACTTCAAGTCCTATAAGCATGAGACACAGCAATTGTGCAGTGTAAACTAACCCATTTCACTAAATTAAAGATTTAATGAGAATATATTTGCTTTGTAACAACATCAAATACACTGAAGTACTGATATAATTTCGTCTTCACATTCCATTGTTTTCTGGTTATCACTGTATCAATTACCTTCGTTGTCTCTGCTGCATGTAGTGATAGTGAATAAAGTGCATAAAGTTGGATCGTTTTTTGCCTATATTTTTTTCATGGTCAAATTTGGCATAATGTAAAATGTAAAACATTTGTTTTTCTATCATTATGCCAAATGTTAACCCTGACAGGGAATATATGCATTAAACAACCAAAAACGAATCAAAAACGATCCTAAAACAAACGTTTCATAACGATCGTGTTATAATGAACATGTTATAGCGAACATGTTATAATGAACATATTATAACGAACGTGTTATAACGAACGTGTTATAACGAACGTGTTATAACGAACGTGTTGTAAAGAACGTGTTATAAAGAACGTGTTATAACGAATGTGTTATAACGAACGTGTTATAACGAACGTGTTTTAACGAACGTGTTATAACGAACGTGTTTTAAAGAACGTGTTATAACGAACGTGTTGTAACGAACGTGTTATAACGATCGTTTTTGGATTGTTTTGCCATTTTTTTTATAATTAAGGATAAAAATATGGCAAAGTTTAGAAAAAACAAATTTTAACAGGATAAAGTTTTGAAATCTTGGAAGTTTACTAAAAGTCTTTAAAAACTAACCAAAACAACTAATATTACTGGCTGCATGAGTCAGAAAGTCAGAGAACCCAATATTTAAATAATCAATTTTTTAATAGAAAATAATTTCTTTTTCTCAGATAACTTTGAAGCATGACACTTATATTTTAGAATAACGTTGGTCCTTTAAAACGAAATTTTCGTTAATTTTTTCTGTAAGAAAATTGTGATTTTTGAATTTGGAATTTTTAGATTTTACGTTTCCGGTTCCTACAGTTGGACTTGTGAACCAGTAGACTACTCAACTAATCCAGAGGTATCTTTTATCATTCAAACTTTTGTTCAAGCATTGATTTCCATCTTATGCAGTTCTACGGATTTATTTAGTTCCTCTTCGATATCCCTTGGTGATCATACCCTGCAGGGATATCCCGTGGTGATCATACCCTGCAGGGATATCCCGTGGTGATCATACCCCCTAATTAATTTTGCACGAACACTCCCTTTAATATCTATTAGAATTTGTTGTAAAATTGGTTTTCAAAACCCTGACCCATATTTATATTGCATATTATGTCTAGGCCTTACGTGCTCTGAATATGGCTTGGTGGTTTTATATCTCCAAGTTCATTGATCTATTGGACAGTATCTTCTTTATATTGACCAAGAAGTTTTCTCATCTAACCTTCCTTCATGTTTTCCACCATGGGATCATGCCTTTCCAGACCTGGTGGGGGGCCAGGTAGATATTATCTACGATATTATTGTGAAATTTATCATTCATACTCAGTTCATGCTCAGTTTCATTATAGCAGTTTTCACAGTGCTATAGTTTTAAACTAGCTGTAGTTATAGCATGTAGATATAAAATATAATTGGTTTTATGACTAATTCTAGCGCAATGCAAAATAATCTTTTATATAGGATTGTCTTCACCGATTCAAAACTGTACTTTTTAAACCTGAATGCAGGGAACAAAGTATTTATAAATCAAAAATCGACGCATTGCACATCCTTCGATAATTTAACACTATAGTTTCAATAGAAGTAAGTATTTCTATTTACTCTTTAGCCCCGATATAAGGATTTGTCTCTAATTGGAAGATGAGAAAGATAGAAAGATAGATGATAGTGAAAAGCAATTTCTATTGGTTAAGAATAGACACCAAACACATGTCTGAACCCTGATTGGATCAGAAGCTATTGGAATCGCATACAAGTGGGTTAAAGCTTTTTCAAGTAAAAGAATCGTTTTCAAGCTTTATTTTTTCTATTCTTACAGGTACTGTCAGCATAAATTCAAGTGACCTTCCTTTTTCCCGATTTTCAATGGTACCCTTAAACCCTTAGGTGTTAAATTCTGTTAATTTCTCCATTGTTTTCAGACAATTTTGTAGAGAAACCACGATTGAAAATAATCAGTTTTCAATAAACAAAAATATAAATATCTAATTCATAATTATCAGACAAAGCTTTTAAGGGTACCGTTGTGAATCGAATCTGGTTGAAATATTTTCTTTTCTTTTCCATGCAGAAAAGTGAAAAAAACCATGTAATTTATCGGAAAAAAATATCCTAACAATTTTTATTTCTAGATTTGTAGGAGGGGGGCATGGTGGATTTGCCGCATTTTTTAACTCTGGAGTTCACACAGTGATGTATCTGTACTATCTCCTGGCTGCATGTGGACCTAAGGTCTCTAAGTACCTCTGGTGGAAAAGGTAATGTATCTGTACTATCTCCTGGCTGCATGTGGACCTAAGGTCTCTAAGTATCTCTGGTGGAAAAGGTAATGTATCTGTACTTTCTCCTGGCAGCATGTGGACCTAAGGTCTCTAAGTATCTCTGGTGGAAAAGGTAATGTATCTGTACTATCTCCTGGCTGCATGTGGACCTAATGTCTCTAAGTATCTCTGGTGGAAAAGGTAGTGCAGAAATTTGTTACCAAAAATGGAAACATTTTTTGAAATCAAGCGCGAATAGAAGGTCAAATTTATGCGACATTACCATGGTTCGACTTTGTGACCTCGTGGCTCCTTTAGTTTTGATTTTAAGCAGAAGTATGAGAAAGCACAAGAGAAATTATAAACTTTTTTTCTTCTCACTAGCTCTTGAATTAGAAGGGCACTTCAACAAGATGAGCAATGATAAAACAATGTCCATCTCTACATAATTTCTAAAATGTTTTCGGATTTATAATTGTTTTCTCTTAGTTAAATTTTTACCTCAACGATAGATATTTACCAAATTAACTTATCAAAACAATTCAACAATTCATTTTTATTTTTTATTTTTGTCTTAAAATTTATGTTGAGTAAAGAATGTGCACAATAAAATTTATTTTAACCAACAATGCCCATCTGCAGGTACCTGACCAGCCTACAGATGATTCAGTTTGTTTTTGTATTCCTCCACGCTGTCCAACCTCTCTACCTAGACTGTGATTATCCTAAACTTGTTCCAAAGGTAAATACAAAGTTAGGTGGAGGTGAACCTCTTATTTTTTAGAGATGCATATCCGATTCACTGCTGTACCCTTTAAACCTTTATCAAAGTAATAATGAGAATGATATCGTAAACTGTTAAATTCTAAATTATCAATTTTCTGAGAGAAAAACAAGGATAACGATTTCATTATTGATCAAAAAAAGGTTTAAAAGCTGGTACCGTTCTTAATCGGACTTTATGAATGCTAGGCTAAATCAAAACTTTTTAAAACTTTTTAAAATTTATTTTATACATATCTTTGAATTTAAAAAGTTTTTTTTATTTGTAGGTTCTGATTGCTAACGCTCTGATCTTCTTCTTCCTTTTCTCAAACTTCTATTTCTTCGCGTACATCAAGAAAAAGAAATTAAACTAAAACATCAAGAAAAATAAAAATAAATTAAGTGTAAAAACCAATAAATTTCACGAAAATACAAAGAAACAGTCAATAATCTAAAAATCAACAAGATAAAAAATGAGGAATAGAAGGAAGACTGTTAAAATCAAGTTATGATTTTAAATAGTTCAATGGGCGTAAAACATGGCAATTGTGCGGTGCCCACGGATGACAAATTTTTTAAAATAGATGCGCGTGGTAGATTTTCCCATTCCAATGTGTCCCGTAATAACTAATCTAATTTTCAGCTCAAAATCTACAAAACTAAAGTTTGAAAAAGACCTACGTAGCTTCAAAATATTTTTTTTCTTGAATTATTATTTAATTTTCTTCGTAATTGTCCAGAAAGATATCCGTCGACATTTTTTTTTAAAATTTTCAAAATTTGCCGAGTTAAATAAAAAACCGCTAAAAAATGTACTTTTCAAAGAAACGAGCATACTAGACGGGTTTTGGACCTAACTCATTTATTTTCAATATTTCATTGAAAACGAAGAAATTCAAAACTAACATCAGGATTTCATGATAATTAATTAATGATTAATTTCTTTAACACTCTTTAAAACTATGGTGGCGATTATCTTCTGGAATTCAAAAGGATTTTTTCATAAAATTTTCAGGAATTACTTACATTATGTAGTGCCTTAGAAAAAGTTACCGCGCTCATCGCGTGCGCTATTTAAAAAAAATAGTAATCATTTGTGTACACCGTAATGTACTGACCCATTTTACTTAATAAGTTGATTTTCAAAACTATTTGTCTAAAGAAAATCGAATACCCATACGACTACTGAAATGTCGTCTTCCTATTCCTCAGTTTATTTATCCTATAGTAAACTAAAACATCAAGAGAAATGAAATTGAACTAAATGATTAAGAAAAATAAACCAAAATTTTGTTTAAAAAGATATATAATTTTTATGTTTAATGTTTACTAAATATACTTTGTTTATTTGTTTATGTCCTGGAGATGAAATAAGATAACATGTAGTGCGTAGTTTCGCCATTTAATTCTGTTTATCTTTTTTTCAACTCGTGTAATATAATTAGGGCTAGGCACGTTCTGACTTTTTAAAGTCAAATGTTGTTTAAAAGCTACCATCTTTTTTACTTTATCAATCTTATTAACGGCGTTAGCGGATAATATTTTAGAAATCGTTAACGGTGCCAGTCTTTAATGAGCGCACCGTTAACGATAATTTCATGTAAAAATTGCAGACAACATTCAAAATCATCAAAACACGTAGAAACATAAAAATATGTAAAATTCTATAATCTTACTAATAAAAAAAGAAGATGGCATTTAAAAACATCGAAATACTTAAAAGTTATTTTCTGCAATTTTATGAAGAGAAAAAAAACGAATTTCGCCGTTCCTTTAAAACCCATCCGTTTTCTGCAACGTGATTTTTTCAAATGGCTATTTTCATTAGTTAACTATTTAAGAATTAGCGGTTTTTCCTTAACCTTAACCGGCTCTTCCGTTAATTTTGAAAAACTTCCGTTTCGTTAACAAAACTTTGCCAATCCCTAATCAAATCTACAGTCTTAAAGCAGAATTATCAGGATTTTAGAGTTCAAACAAAAATATCATTAGCTTAATATGTAGTTCGTATTTTTGGTTTAAAAAAGCATAAGCTAAGCAACCATTTTTTATTTTCAAAATAATGAACATATCCATTAAACTTTTTATAAAACCGTTTACTTTCCGGCCCAAAAGATCCATATATTCAGATGTGACAACTTTTCTTTTCTTGAATAATCTATGTAAATAAGTTTAGGTATAGGCAATACTTTTAAAAACGTTTTTGCTTATTAAATTGTGTATATATTTTTTTATTGCATTTATTAAAATGAAAAACTGCTGAAAACTTATAAACCTGAATTTTAATCAATAAATAAACCTTTTAATGGATTTTATTTATTTTCGTGTCACATATGTCGCAATATAAAAGTTTTCTTTTCTGCAGATCAGAACAGAAAAATGTATTGATATCAAAGTTCACATACATTTTATTGGCTTTCCGAACTAAATTTTCCATTTGAAAAAAAACCTTTCATAATTTTTAGTAGGTTGGGAACCTAGCTTTACCTGGAAACTAAGTAAACGGAAGACGACCGTTTAAACAAAATTTTTTTCATATTTATTTTTATATTTCAAATTTTAAACTATATATTCTTTAAATATTTAGTTTAAACTCAAATAAGAACTTTTCAGCAAAGCTAAAAACATTCCCGAGGTTCTACCGAATTCCCTAATCAAAATTTAAGACCAATCGGGCAATGATCGGACATCCATACAGACAATCAAACAGAGATTACAACTTTTTATTTAGAATTGCAAATTAACAGCGATAAATTAGCAAGGGGGAAATACCTACCTGGTTTATTTTTAACCAGCTTGAATGTGTTTTTTGTTCATTAAAAAAGATTTGTGAATTTAGGAAATTCGTTAAGTAATTGAGCCTTTGCCTCAAATTTGGTTAGAAATTCAGAAATGGTAGCAAAGACTAAATTCCTTTAAAACTCCTCCATCCCAATCCCTCTAGAGTGTTTAATAAAAACCACTTATTATTGATTTTATTTTATTTTATTTTATTATACAATCTTAGATTTTTTAAAGTAAAAGTTACTTTTTTTCATGTTTCCTTAAATATTCGACAACCGAGGTCTGAATTATAATGAAGAGTAGAATACGTCAATCCAGTCACGTTTACATCACATCTTTAAAGGGACAGTCCTTGAAATCTTCAGCGACCCTCCAGAAAGGAGTATTCTTGATTCACAACGGTACCCTTGACATCTTTATATGATCAATAATGTGGAAGATAACGTCGTTTTTTTAGCTTAAAAACTGTTTAATTAAAACTAAAACATGGATACCTAAAATATTGCTTGATCAGACAAAGCTTTTCAGAGTACCATTGTGAATCGGATCTTTAAATGAAAAGTGATTTGAAATTACGTGTACAGATCCTTTAAGCATCTTATCTAGGGATTATTAGTTCAACGCATGTAAACTATCTTTAATTAATTCAATTTGCGTCCATTATTGATGCTTAAAGGGACTGTGGATAAAATTTCAAAATAAAGATAAAAAATCTGCTTCAAATTTAATATGGATAAAAGGTATCTACAGTATAAGTTAAGGATTTTGTAGAAATTTATTATTCCAAAATCTGAAAATTTTGTATTTTTAATAATTATCGCAATTTTAGTAATCGTCGTAACGTTCAGTAATCGTCCTAATCACTCCCATTTTGTGCCTGACTATTCTGTAGAAATACACGTGACTCTATCAAAAACTAAGTTGATAGTTAAATCAAAATTCATATCATTACAAAATACACATGTACCCTCTTGGAAAACGTGATTACTCAAAATCATATGTATGTATAAAATTGGAGGGGGAGGGGGTGGGGGAACAAAAACATTTTTACAAATCATTTATATGACGAGGTCTAAAATTTGAACTTTAATAATGCTAAATCATATTATATGTAAAGACAGATAGATATAGTCGTTTTTTCCTTTTTCTTAATTTATAAATTAAGTTTTTATTGAAAACAAATTTTTTCAAGAGTTGGCAACTAATGCAAGAAATGCAAAACTATCTTTGAAACAAAAAAAATTTCTCATTTTTTTACTTCCCTTCTGAAAAAAGAAGGTCTTAAACAAAGTATGAATGTTCATCTAAAAGCGATTACATTTACAGTTTACGCATACAAAAATATGAAAAAAGAGAATACAAAGTTTCCGACAAAACTACTTTTTACAGGCATTTTCACTGACTATTTTTGCTTTAAAAAACAGTGTCACAAATTACTTTTTTTGAGTTCATTTTAATTACCTGTACGTATATATATATATATATATTAAATAACCCCTTTTAGTAGATAAATAAAAATGAACAAATATTCACAATTGTAAATAAGAAATAAATATTCTAAACAACAAGGAGAAGATAAGCCATAATTATATAAACCAAGTGAACTCTAGAGTTCCTTTAGTTCACTAGTACCGAGGATGAATATATTACAAGTATCAGGCCAGGTATTAGGCCTATACCTAGGCCTATTTATAGGGTCGGCACAAGCCTTTGATCCCTTCACATCTGGACCCTATGCATCACAACACAAGTAGGTTAATCTAAAGGATCTTTTCATAAAATTAGTGATTTGCCTTTAGCTGTTCTTTTTTGGCTTTTTTTTTTTGGCTGAGATTTTGCTAAGAAAAACAAACGTTTTCTAAATTGTTTACTCTAAATATTTTTTTAGAACGTCAAATTTTGAACCTGACAAAAGAACTAGGAAAAATCAACCCAAAAACTATTCAAAAATTATGCAAATTGGAAGTTTTATAAATTAGTTAAATGGACCCAAAACGAATAACGATTAACAGCATAACGCCTTTAGTCTATTGGACTCATTTGACTTAAAAATTAGCTATATTTACATCTTTATAGCAATCAGCTTTTTCCACCAAAAAATCATTTTGGAAAAAAATCAAATTTAACAGAATTCGTTTTATTAGGTATGACTAGTTGAACTACTTCCTTAGTGAACTATCAGCGACAATAGACAAGTAGTTCAGCTATCTTTACCTGGTTCAACTATTCATCACTATCTATTAATTCCAAACCATAATTAACTTTTGTTTTCTAATCTAGGACCTACTACGCTCTAGTGAATACAGATCTGCATAACATGATTGATGTTTGGGTTCCAGATACCCTAGATACTGTAGACTCTCCTATATTATTCATGGTTGGAGGGATGGGAGGTCTGCTTCCTGGGGTTGCATACTCTACTATATTTGAAAGGTGAAAACTTTTGAATAAATAATAAATTATATTTGCCTTTAAAGGGAGCGTTCGCGTGTAAGCTAATCCGAATCAATTGATTCGATCGCTGCTAATTGTACTTCTATCCGTAGCGTGTTATAAAGAGAAAATAATAATAATGTCCAAGAGTGGAGAGTCATACTGTAATTTATGCCCTCTCTGAATTTTCGCGAACACTTCCTTTAATGATCGGCCTTTTTACGCCAAGCATAAATGTGTTTGATCAAACTATCTTTAATAATTTTTGACCTAATCTAAATAAAGTGATGATGTATGCAGTTGAAGAAAGATTGTTAGGAATAGCTAAATACTATTAATCATGCAGAGTGTAACAAACCTAACGCAATGTAAAAAATAGAGAGAAAACATTGATTTTATTATTGAAAAACATAATTAATAATTAAAAATGTATATTTTCAAGAGTGTCGAGCTATGGATTTACAGTAGTTCAACCCTGGATTCTTGGCAACAATCCTATCAGCAATTATGATGTAATTATTGAACTTCACAAATCAATTTTTATGAACACTTTTTTTAAATGTTAAAAAATATTTTTCAGGGTATTTGGTTGGATGATGTAATGACTTGGGTAGAGAATCATTTAAAAGAAAAATTAGATTCAGATGGTAATATTTTTAAAACTATTTTGGTATTTTCCAAGATAAAAGGACATGTTCTGTTACCCCCTGTATTTCAGGGATAGGTATTGGCGCTGTTCTAAATCATAGAAACGTGTTCCTTGGCTCACATTCTGCAGGGGGGCATGTTACTGTGGAATACCTAAAGGTATGGAATCTATTTCATACAGTTAAACCCTAAATAAGCCATACATCGAAAGAATTCATCAAATGTCGTATTCTTCACTTTCTGATAATGGAATGTTGCAGATATTTGGTTTTTTTGTTAAATGATTATAAGGAGCTTTTAAAAACTGTTCCCGAATATTCATGGCTATTTATTTTTTTCGCAAATACTGATATTTACGTGAAGTAGTATAAAACCCATTTAAAAATTGTCAAGACGACATTTAAAAAATTATTTCAATGTATGGCTCATTTAGGGTTTAACGGTACAATGAGAACCAGAAAACAGTTGAATTCTTGTCGTCCTTTTTTATATTTTGAGCATAATTTTTATAAAATTTCACTAGGTATTTTGTTCAAAACGGTTTCTAAAAAAGTGCTCTGAGGACGAGAATATTCCTCTAGAAAATGAAATACAAAGACAAAATTCACAGTAACCCTATTTATTTTTAGCATCATTGTGGAGATGTGAAAGGAAGCATATTAATGTCTCCAGTTGATGGATTTGATCCATTTGGTTGGATCGATCTGTTTGCTATCACTCCAGGAGAATATCTTAATTATGAAATTCCCTCGTTAAGTAAGTCTAAATATAATTTAAAAAGATTGTGGACGTAATCTTAAGTAACCCTTGATGCAAATATGGGAATGTCTAATTTACAATGGTACCCTTAACTCTCTATCTGAGTAGCAATACACCCCTCTGTCAATTCTTTCTAGTTTGAAATTGAAGTTCACTTGAAATTACGCCTACAGTTATAAAATAAAAAATGATTTGAATTTACAGAAAAAAAACTTGAATTTGTTTAAGTTCTAATGTGCGGACTGGATGCAGTGAAAGGCATTGATGGGTTGGGAGATTTAGTTCCAGCTTGTGCACCAGAAGATCTCAGTAATCTCAGGTTAATCAATACTACATATACAGGGTTAAAGGTATTGATGGATTGGGAGATTCCAGCTTGTGCACCAGAAGTTCTCAGTAATCTCAGGTTAATCAATACTACATACAGGGTTAAAGGTATTAATGGGTTGGGAGATTTAGTTCCAGCTTGCAGTGCACCAGATGATCTCAGTAATCTCAGGTTAATTAATACTACATCATACAGGGTTAAAGGTATTTATGGGTAGGGAGATTTAGTTCCAGCTTGTGCACCGGAAGATCTCAGTAATCTCAGGTTAATCAATACTACATACAGGGTTAAAGGTATTGATGGGTAGGGAGATTTAATTCCAGCTTGTGCACCAGAGGATCTCAGTAATCTCAGGTTAATCAATACTACATACAGGGTTAAAGGTATTGATGGGTAGGGAGATTTAATTCCAGCTTGTGCACCAGAGGATCTCAGTAATCTCAGGTTAATCAATACTACATATACAGGGTTAAAGGTATTAATGGGTGGGGAGATTAAGTTCCAGCTTGTATACCAGAAGATCTATCAATCTCAGGTTAATCAATACTACATATAACGGATTGATATAGATATTAATGTTGAATAATAATTTTGAAAACTGTTCATTTTCAATTGTGGATTCTCTACTGCAAGAGAACATATAGGAATTATAAGAATAATTATAAGTTCTATTGTATAGAATTATAAGTTCTAATCTAATATCTGAACCAATTTTATGCGTTCGACAAATAAATCATAATAAATCATAATATACATCTAGGGTGTCCCAATAAACATGGGAATTCAGTGACGAATACGAGATCGTCTTTGTTAAGAATTAGCATTGAAATACCTGATTTCAAAAGCCATAATATTATTATGTCAGCTAGAGTTTATTTTATGAAAATGGTAAATGGCTTTAAATATGTGTCAAAATATTTCCATTTACTGCATAGCGCCGATTAAGGGATTCATATCTCTATTTGGATGATGCGATAGATAGAAAGATAGATGTCACCGGGCCGCCATACTCATGGTTCAGAATAGACAACAAACACATGAGTGAACCCTCTGATTGGATCAGGCGCTAATGGAATCTGCATACAAGTGTGGCAAGGGAGGAGGGACAAGTTTATTCTGTTTGTTCACTGAATTTTCTTATTTTACCAAGAATACAACCTTATGCAGTCAAAGCATAAACAAAAAAAGTGTAAACATAGCAGACAAAAATCTTACTGAAACCAGCTTTCTCAGTAGGTATCACTATAGTAAATCAAAGCATTATTCAAAAAGACTATATCGAATTCGTCACTGAATTTTTATGTTTATTTGGACACCCTGTATATATGAGGGAGAGCTTTAAGAATATGAGTAATTGGAAATTTATAAGTATTTTACTATCTGACCATGCTTTCTTGAATCTAGATTCTATGATGCCCTGCCTGGAAATACCTGGCTTATAAATGCTACCGACTATGGACATGGGGACTGCCTGGATCAGTTCTTTGTAGATGCAATTCAGGTTTTGTTTAAAAATTATTGTTACAAAAAAAGAACTTAAAAAGACTGTTCTCGTAATTTCCATTGACCCTTAATGCAAAGATGACAATACCCGATTCACAACGGTACCCTTAAAAGCTTTGTCTGCTCAAGTGTGAATTAGATTGCAATTATTTTGAAAACGATTTATTTTCAATTGCGGACATGCCAGGGTTCATCGCTGCGGCCATATGCTCTTATTTTTAGCTCTGGCCATGAAACACTGTAAAACCGCAAAGGGATTTATTCTGGCAAAGTTCTGATAAGTTTGACCATCTGAATGGGGGTGTTCTGATTAATCCTGAAATAAAAGAATTTAACCTCATATTTTTAGTTTACACATTTCTGCGGATCTGCCGATGATTCTGTTCCAAGAGAGGAATACAGAAGTTTTATTGGAGGAGAGATTGTTACGTTCATGTCTCATACTCTTGGGTTGCAGGATTGCACTATTTCTAGATATATGGAGGTACGATTATTCAAGGATATAATAATAAACTGAGAGATTGGTCAGCATAATAAAAACAAATTTAACTAAAAATGTCCATATAATCTATATTAAAAAATTACTTCCTCAGTAAAAAAAATAATAAAAATTACCTTTGTTCTATTTATAAGAATATGCGAAACCTTACATGCATATTAAGATTAAATAATCAACATTTTACTTACCACATGAAGAAATTAAGTCTTTGCCGGCCCACAAACTCACATTTTCCAATCCCCAAGTAACCCAACGTCGTAGACCTCAGATATTTCAAACTAGGAATTGCGTTAGATCAAATAATCTAAGTTTAAACTATCAAAGCTTAAACCTTCAGGTTGCAAAAACATAGAAAATTTGAGTTGTAGGCAAAGACTTTACTCCTTACCATTATACCTACCATGGTGTCTGCTGCTATATATAGAAAAATATGATCGACATGGTTTACCATTTCTTTTTAAAGGATCCAAGCTTGATGCCAGTGAAAGCAACAGTTTTGAAGAAAGACAGTGTAGTTTCCGAACATGATGCTTGCTTGCAGGTATAATCTTATTCTGTTTTTAATAAATACAATTGTTTTGAAAATATAACTAAACTTTTTTTCAGGCAAATTGTGCTTGGCAGTCAGACCCTTTTCCTCACGAGTAAATGTGAGGGGTGTAAATCTAATTAATTTGTAAATAAATGTGTAAATAATCAATATTTGAATTAAACTCTCAATGCTATTTCAAATCGTATTGTATGTAATTAATGTAATTAAGTATGTAATTATATTTTAATCTCAGTCTTCATCTGCACTTTTTAGAAATTCGATTGGCATTTTTTAATTTGGATTCTTTTAAGATATTAACAGAGATGATAAAAAATAATGACAAACTGCTGGACCTCGTCTAACTTTAAGAACTATTGCTGTTATTTCAAGTGACCTTCCATTTGCAATTTTAAGCAATTTGTAAATGAATATGTAAAAAGAAATAACATTGTAGATTGCATTGTATAGAATTAAATCAGATTTAGCTCAAACCTTGTTCGCTATAAAGCATATCAAAGTTTCCTTAATTCTGAGATAAATTCTCCAATTAACTAACGTACCAGAGTTAGAGGCATTCAGTTTCTTTTATTGATATCAGACGCGTTTTGGTCTATATTTCAACAATCTTTAAATTTACGGATTTGTTTGTTTTATACTTTTCATTAAAAAAGAATATGCCGGTAAAAAGTATTTAAGAAAAAAGGCTAAAATATTAAGTTTAAAAGTTTGATGAAAATCTAAGAATACGTTTCTTTTCGTAAAATTCAAACCAAATGCTTTTTCAAAATTTTTAGGTTTTTATTTTACGAATTTTAAGTATTTTTCGTTTTTTTTTTACTTAAACTTTTTCATTTTTTTGACATAAAAATACGTATATTTTCGTAAAATTCAAACAAAATACTTTTTCAAAGTTATAGCTTTTTTGCGTATTTTTTTTTGATAAATACAATGTTTTAAAATTTATATTGTTTTGGAGTAAATTGATTTTTTTATTAGAATCAATGCCAGGAAATTCTCGATTTTTTTTATAAATAGAAGTTGCACTTTAACAGTGAAAGGAAAATTGATGGTGTGAATTTGTGTAGAAGAATATTTGAATATATGAATGGATTTAAGAAATTTGTGGAATTAATTGTAAAGCTATGAAGGAACAATGTGCATTGTGCATTAATAGTTATAGTCATTACTCATAACCTACTTAACATTTTCGTTTTAGAACTTGAATATGCCTTAAAAATATGTATTTTTACGTATAGGAAAACCCTTGAAATTCCTGATTCATTCATTTTACATTCGCATTTACGTTAGTCATATACGTATTTTCACGGATATAAAATACGTATTTTCACTAAGTTCATACTTATGAAAAATACGTATTTTTACGTATTCCTAAAGCCTAAAAATACGTATATATACGAATGTCATACGTATTTTTAGGTTTTCCGGTTAGTAGGGATAGCAAAAAATGAACTTTACTATATTTGATTTAAATGTACGTTTTATCTGTTATAGGGTTAAATAAAATGTTCAACTTGTAAAAGATAAGATTTGAAATAAATTGAGGAAAAATGTTCAACTGCAACAGATGTGTGTGAAAAGACAGGAAGGAAGGATGAAGTTGAATTCTCTTCTTATTATTTTGCTCGGAGAAGCTCTAGCCTTTGATCCATTTACTCATGGACCATACAGAGCTAAGCATAAGTAAATTTTACATTTTCTTTGCAAGGGTAACAAGAAAAAATACAAGGTGTCAATCAGATTATAAAGAATTATGCATGTGACGTCATTGGTGTCAAATGTTAACACATTACTATACGTTTTATGGTTATAATGCATTTATTTAGAAAATTGGGGAACATGAAGACAACATTTAAGCAATATCAAAAGTGTATTTGATGTTGTAACAGAGAAAATAGTTTTACTTTATTGTAGCTAAATCATTTGTTATAAAGTGGGCTTGAGCACTGTGCACAATTACTGTGCCTCATGTACATTGGACTCTTTAAAATTTAATGGTCTAATGAACCAGGATCTGCACAACTTGATAGATGTTTCCAATAAAATACCTATTTTAGAACCTATTACGGTCTAATGAACCAGGATTTGGACAACATGATAGATGTTTGGGTCCCGGATACTATTGATACTGTAGACTCCCCTATTATGGTGATGGTTGGGGGGCTGGGGGGTCTTATGCCCGGGGTAGCATACTCTACAATCTTTGAAAGGTATGAAACAACATTCTAACCAGAATATCTTCAAAATATCGCCAAATTCTTGTACTTTACAGGCTTTAAACAACTTGATATTCACATACAGGGCTATGATAACGTAAAGGTGTGTTAATAAAGTAAAATCAGGGGCAAACTTTTCTTTCAAAAAACTTTTATATTTGTAAAATTTTGGAAATCCAGTAAAAAAACAAGAGAAAATCTGCAACTTCTTTTGTTTTACCTGAGATTGAATTTAAAGAATTTGAGCCGCGGTTTAAATCAGCCAAAACCCGGTTTAAATTAAGCGCCGGCTTAAATCTTGAAACATTTGATACAATTTTAAGTGGAACCAACCATATTTAAGCCGCGGCTTAAATTTAAACCGCCGCTCAAATTCTTTAAATTCGGCCACTGAGCTGAAAACTTTAATGTTTGATCCACTCTTTTTCTTGATCTCCAGATTAAATAATGCGTGTTCTTTTCTTGTTATTAATCTCCAGATTAATTAACCGATCGGGATTATGGATATCCCATTCTAATTGTTCAGCTCTGAGCTGAAAAATTAGTTTATCGCGAGATTAAATAATGCTTGTTCTCCTTATGCTATTAATCTATTATTAAATGATTAACTGATCGGAATTAAGGATATTCCAAGGGTCAAACAGAATTTGAGTTGACACTTATGACGTAAATACAGCTGTACTGAAAGTGTTCGCATTCTGTTTTGCCATCTATTGTACTTGACAACCTATTTGGGATACTCCATTCTAAAGTTTTACGCTCTGGAGATTAATAACAAGAGAAGAACAAGCATAATTTAATCTGGAGATTAAGAAAAAAGGAGATCAAGCATTGATCTCGATATCCACCATTCTAAAGTTCCCAGCTCTGATTTACGACGGAAAAATGATGGTATTGAAATCAATATCTAAAAGCTAAAAGAATAACTATTTACAATATAAAAACAGGAGTTGTATTTTCTTAACAATCTTGTTTTAAATGATAATTATGTTTGATGTTTTTATCTCCTCCAGAGTAACAAGCTACGGGTTTACTGTAGTTCAACCTTTCTCTGCCAATCTAATCAATAATTACGAGGTAATATTTTGTTTTTAATCAACTCCAAGCTTTCTCTGCCAATCTAATCAATAATCATGAGGTAATATTTTGTTTTTAATCAACTCCAAGCTTTCTCTGCCAATCTAATCAATAATTATGAGGCAATATTTTGTTTTAATCAACTCTTAGCTTTCTCTGCCAATCTAATCAATAATCATGAGGTAATATTTTGTTTTTAATCAACTCCAAGCTTTCTCTGCCAATCTAATCAATAATTATGAGGCAATATTTTGTTTTAATCAACTCTTAGCTTTCTCTGCCAATCTAATCAATAATTATGAGTTAATATTTTGTTTTTAATCAACTCCTACCTTTCTCTGCCAATCTAATCAATAATTACGAGGTAATATTTTGTTTTTAATAAACTCCTAGCTTTCTCTGCCAATCTAATCAATAATTACGAGGTAATATTTTGTTTTTAATCAACTCCTAGCTTTCTCTGCCAATCTAATCAATAATTACGAGGTAATATTTTGTTTTTAATCAACTCCTAGCTTTCTCTGCCAATCTAGTCAATAATTAGGCGGTAATAATTTGTTTTTAATCAACTCCTAGCTTTCTCTGCCAATCTAATCAATAATTATGAGGTAATATTTTGTTTTTAATCAACTCCTAGCTTTCTCTGCCAATCTAATCAATAATCATGAGGTAATATTTTGTTTTTAATCAACTCCAAGCTTTCTCTGCCAATCTAATCAATAATTATGAGTTAATATTTTGTTTTTAATCAACTCCTAGCTTTCTCGTGAAAGGGTTATTTTCAGGGTATTACTATTTTTTAATATATTAGACATTTTTTGATTAAAGCTGTTTTTAAAAAAAGAATGAGAGTACATTGTGAAATTTTTCAAATTATCTTTACAGAAACATTGAATAGAAATATAAAAAGTATTTGGTTTGACTATTTTTTATCCTAATCTTAAAAAATGCAATAAAATCTAAACAGTCGTCAGCTCTGAATTCTAGAGTTTAGCAATTTATCAAAATTTTCCGAAATTGCAACATACGACTTAGACCGTAAAAATAAATTTAATTTTAAACAAATCATTCAGATATTACAACTTATAGTCATCGATTGTCTTTCGCCACATTTATATGTAGTTTATATTTTATAGTTTTTTTTATTTTTTTAAAAAACGTTTTAACGGATTAAAAAAAATGTGAGTGGTGGGCGGCATTCTTAGATAGTTGCGCAAGCGACAAGAGAAATAATCAAATTCAAAACAAATTAGTTAAAAAATATTATAAAATATAAACTAAATACAAATTAGGCGAAAGATAATCGATGACTATAGGTTGTAATATCTGAATGATTTGTTTGAAATTAAATTGATTTTTTTACGGTCTAAGTCGTATGTTGCAATTTTCTCAATTTGTATGGACGCCATGTTATTCGGTATGAGACGTCTTTAACAATTTTCTCCTTATAGACGCAACAGATAGAAGTAAGATTAGTAGCGATCAAAAGGGCTTTTTTATCGCATTTTTCGCGAACACTCCCTTTAAGAAACCAACTAAGTTAATCCTAATTTATAAAATGGTATATAGGGTGTTTGGTTAGATGATATCCTATCCTGGGTAGAGCTACATCTTAGGGACAAATTAGACGAGGAAGGTTTGTCAATTGATTTGTCATTTTATGTTTTCAAATATTTATTGCTTACATCGAGTAAACTTAAAATCTGTAGACATAATTTTAAGATTGTAAGTGAATGAGATATTTTAACTATTCCATTTAAAAATTTATTATTTTTAATTTGGGTTTGAGGTATTTGCAGATTTGTGAAGCAGAAACTATATAAAGGAAAATATTCCGAATCTAACAGTTTTCAAGATTACGTCTGCTGTCTCCTCATATCATTATCTCTCATAGTTATAGACTCACACATGCATCCTATGTGTATTGTGTAGCTATCCTAGATAAACAAACCTCAAAAAAACTAAAACTTTATTGAGTTAAATATTGATTCATCTAATGTACTTCAGAATTAATAATTTTGAAATTCGGAAATTTTTTTGTGAAAAAACTTATTTTAAAGATCATTAAAAAAGATTGTTTCTAATAATCTATTCACATTTTTTTTCTAGATATTGGCAGTGGTGTTGTTCTTAATCATAGAAATATTTTCCTTGCTTCCCATTCAGCTGGTGGTCACGTGGTGGTAGAATACTTAAAGGTAACCTTACTCAAGTTTTTTATTCGAAACCTTTACCAGGCCCTTTTATTTAAAACTAAAACACCCTAATTAAGAAAAGATAAAATATTTCGATAAACTCTGATTTATAATCCCTTTATCTTTGCAACCTAATGGTGTATATTTCTAACTTATGAATTTAATCTAATCTAAAAGTTTGAGATATGTCCTCGGCAAAAGGTTTCAAAGATAAAAAGACGAAAAAATTTTGGTTGTAGAAATTTTACATTTTTTTTGTAAATTCTTACGATGGGACAAGCTTTGTTCTTTGGTCGTTAAAGAGACTGTCAACATTTTTTCATTTTCAAGTAACAAGCTCGATTAACAACGGTACCCTTTTGTCTGGGTTAAAAAAATTCTATCCAAACTTTGATAGTTTTCAAATGTGATTTGTCAGTGAAAGTCACTTGCAATTTATGAAGTAGAGACAAGGACCGAAAATAACAGGTTCACTTGGTATTACGTTAACATTCCCTTTAGTTTAAAAACCGTAATTTTCATTTTTTCACACTTTTCCACTTTTTAAAAAAATATTTAAATGTTGATATTTATAATGTTTTAGCATCATTGTGGAGATGTGAAAGGGAGTATATTCATGTCTCCAGTTGATGGATTTGATCCATTTGGTTGGATCGATCTGTTTGCCATCACTCCAGGAGAATATCTGAATTATGAATCCCCGGCATTAGGTGAGATTGAGAATCATGATAAAATGCGCAAACTTTTATTAATCATGACGAGGACAACAATTCCCAATGTTAAACTTTTTAAATCAAAAGTATAATAGGAGTTATTTTTATATTAAATTTCTTGACCGTTTTCTAGACAATGTTAGGTTTCACATTTTCGAACTTATCCTGAATTTGAAACATTGTCGCGTTTTCGAGACAAACCCCACTTTCCCGTTTTTGAGTATAATCCACAATTCAAAACAAAACTCACTTTCATATCTTACAAAATGAATCACTGAAAACAAAATTTATCTTTTGTTAAATCTTTAGCATCAAATAAAATCTTTTAATCCATATATCTTTGCAACCTTATTATGGAAATCTTTGACAATTTAAACTTAGAAAATTTTATCTAACAGAACTCTTAGTTGGATATTCTACAAAATTGGATGGTGTAATGATTAGAGCTATTCAATTGATTACAATTATAAGATATAAATCTTAGGGATGTGCGAGATCAATCATTTGCTCCCTCTGTTCAGGGCGTTTACACAGGTCTTTCTCTCAGTCCCGGTTCTAGTCTTGAGATACTTCCGATATGCAATCCTCAAAGCCTTAATCAGGAAGTCCTTAATTTAACTGTTCTAGTTCCGGGTTTGTCTGTGAGGATATATCATCCTTTAACCAAAGTAGCCGTGCTTCAACTATAGCTTGTAGCTCGTCAATAACATCTTCCATATCTTCTGCTGTTACATAAAATGCTTCCTCAGTTATCCAAGCTGCTCCTGGAGTTGAAGGATACTCTTGAGTCGGAGATTGAACTGGAGGAGAACTTGGTTCTGGAGTATCTCTTCCATAACTGGTTGCTGGGAGCTGTCTGTAAAGAGTAGTTTTCCCCAGGTCTCATATTAGATCTTGCGATCCATAAATCAACTGGTTTCTCAATCATATCTGGAGGATGATAGATCTCGTCCTCATAGATCCTCGAGATTTCCTCCTCTCCTGGAGTCATTGGTCTATATTGATATTCTAGCTGCTCCTGGCCACAAGCAAGATTGGATTCTTGTATAGAATCCTCTGCAGAGTATAGAGCAGCTCCTGGTGTATTTGCGAGACAGTCTCGTCCTCCTCTATTTATAATTCTTGGTTGTTCTGCATCTCTAGTGTTTCTGTTCATAGAACCAGCTGGAGAAGTCGCCCTGACTTGTAGTTGAACTAGCCGAACTGTAGTTGAACTTGTTTGCCTTGGAAGTATTTGTTGCTCTATATCCCCAGAGTTGATCTGTTTATAGGACCAGCTCGAAAATAAAAAGTTTCATCTGGTACATCTTGGTCCATGGTTGGACAAGCTGGAACTGTTACAAACGGTGGGTAGTCCCGACTGGTCGGTATGAGTACAATCGGTTCAGTTCCAGAAGCTGCAGGAGACGAATTTCTTGAGGATTTGATAAATCTGATGATACATATTAATGTTTAAGGATACGAGAAGATGCTGGTGGACTTCTGTGTTCCCTGGCAGGCATGTTGCAGATTCATCTATCTGTTAGCTGTCTGTTAACTGTCTGTTAACTGTCTGTTAGCTGTCTGTTAGCTGTCTGTCCCCCAGCCTTATATACAAACGGGAGATTAAAGGGTTGAAGGGTTTTCTAGTATACGATCATACCCTGAATATTACATCATGCTTTAAATATTACAATGGTAAAGATGTAATATAGATATTCAAAAATCAGAGTTTGTGGCAAAAGCTCCTTTATTGAAATACGATAATACAGGGGGTTTCTACGTTATATTATACGATTTTTAGAATAGGAAAGAGGTATCTCCAAACACAAAATAATTACTTTCTAGCATTTATTGTTTTTTTTTTTGGTCCGGTAATAATAATAGATAGACAGATATATGATAAGAGTTGGGTTAAACTCCTTGGCAGAAGTCACTTAGCTTAATCCATGAAAAACGGTTTAAAATAGTCCATTTAAAAGTTTCCAGTTCTGTTCTGTTTCTAGTTCTAATGGCTGGTCTGGATGCGCAGAAAGGAACCAGTTTAACCCCAGCTTGTGCTCCAGATGATCTCAGCAATACCAGGTAAAAGGGACTGTAAAGGAAAAATAAAAGGGGGTATAGAGTGAAATATGAGAATCTCAGGCGTTGAACGATAAATATAAGACAACTATCTGATGTTCCTGTCTGGAGAAATTGATATATAACTGTGTCAAATTTATACGGAAATTCATATATAAGCAATTTTGTATAAAAGTTGTAGTATTAAACAGATCATATTCAACAAATACGCAACCAATCTTAAAACGATTATATCCCACAGGAGTCTGAGAATCTCAGGTTTGCTCCTATTATGATTTTTTATTTTTATTTTGCATTTTTAAAAGATATAATTGATAATATTATTAAATATGGTCAGTATAGTCCGTATTACGTAGCCAGAACTTCAGCCAATGCCAGTGCAGTATTCTTGTCACGTGATTTACGTCTGTTTCAGATTGCGAATTTGTTGAACATACAGGTTGTCCCACGAAACATGACAGTTGGTGAATAGTTTAAAATGTCTTCTTCCATAATTTGATAAGTTGTTTGGTACCAAAGATGATGATAAGAAATACTAAATGGTAGTAATAATAAGTAAAATTGATTTCAAACAAATATATATTTGGGTAAAAGATTTGTTTAACGAAATAAACTGCAAAAAGTCTTAAATAATTAATATAGTGTCATGGAAGACGACATTGAAAACTATTCACCAACTGTCATGTTTCGTGGGACACCCTTATGATCTGTTCAATGCTACGAACTCTTCAGGGATAGCTTTAATTGAGTGATTAAGGGTATTAGGATCAAGGATATCGTGATCAAGGATATCAGGATCAAGGATATCAGGATCAAGGATATCGGGATCAAGGATATCAGGATCAAGGATATCGTGATCAAGGATATCAGGATCAAGGATATCGGGATCAAGGATATCGGGATCAAGGATATCAGGATCAAGGATATCGGGATCAAGGATATCAGGATCAAGGATATCGGGATCAAGGATATCAGGATTAAGGATACCGGGATCAAGGATATCATTCAAATCAATTTTTTATCACTTTTGTTCCGGTTTAATTAAGAAAATAAATTTAAAACTGTATCTAAGGCCGAATACTTAATTTAACCTTGAGTTTCCGGTCGTTTTTACAGTCTCATACTTTTCAGAGACAGACAATGCCAACTTTTTGTATCGAGGGTCACTTAAAATCTCGCGTACAGTACCTTTAACATGAATTTTTTTTAGATTTTATGATGCATTCCCTGGAACGACTTGGTTCATTAATGCAACTGAATATGGTCATGTAGACGGACTTGAACAGATGTTTGTAGATGGGGTTCAGGTACTGACCAATCGTCTTCCTTCTAATAGTTTTCTTATGAACAATCTTAATGCGTCGAAAACCAGCTTAAAGGAACGTTTGTAACGTTTATTAAAAAGATAAAAATGAAAAAAATGTTTGAAATTCTCATCAAATCAAATTCAAGTCACGTTAGAATAAAATCTGATTTTTTTTTCCGAAGAATTATTCAGATAACATTTTTATTTCGATTTGGTGTTCTCTTACTTTTGAATAAATTTGACCTTTTTGACAATATTGGAGTAAAACATCATAATGTAAATATTAAATAATATGTTGTTTGCTTGTATAATATGTGTGGAAATGACTTGAAACTGTTGACAGACCAATTTACCTAAAAGATTGCACAATGCACCATCCTGACAGATTTAAATTTAGTATAAGGAACTGAGTTTTTGCCGCAAAATCTAATATTCTAATCCTTATACGGTGGTAGGCGGCTTTATTAATATAATGAAGAGGACTTTAGATTTCAATGNTGCGTCGAAAACCAGCTTAAAGGAACGTTTGTAACGTTTATTAAAAACTTGTAATTCGAAAAATTGTTAACAATTAAAATCTAAATAAAAAAGTCGTCTTCATTAGATTGATATAATGGGCTACCACAGTAATTTTGCAACCTGATGGTGTACAGAAATCATATTTTTAAATGTATAATGTCTACAGCATCATTGGGTTTGAAAGATATAGGGATTAGAAAATCAGAGTTTGTGGCAAAGACTCAAATCCTTTGTTTCAAGATTTCACATTTTTGTGCTGCGTCAACTGACGATGTTCCTAAAGAAGTTTATAGAAGTTTCCTTGGCGGAGAGATTGTAACTTTTATGTCTCATGTTCTCGGGAGGGAAACCTGTGATATTTCTAAGTATATGGAGGTGAGTAATAATTAAACTAGATAATTAAAGATGTATGTTCGATTCACAACGGTACCCTTGAAATCTGATTACGGGGACGTTAGTTCCACTTGGCCCATTTCTGACACTGAGTGTTAGAAATGTGTGCATAAATTGAAAGACTGGGTTTTTGGGATCCCGGCCCATATCCAGAGTAAAAGTCGATAATAAAAACTATAACCAACATTTAATTAATCATGACGAGTACAACAATTCCCAGTTTTAAACTTTTTTTTAAAATCAAAATTATAATAGGAGTTATCTTCATATCAAATCTCTTGACCGTTTTCAAGACAATGTCTGGTTTTCCATTTTCGAACATATCCTGAATTTGAGACATTGTCGCGTTTTCGAGACAAAACCCACTTTCCCGTTTTTGGATACACTCTTTCATAACTTGCAAAATAAATCACTGAAAACTTATGAAGACTAAATTAACTTCTGATTTATTTCTAGAATCCTAGTTTCCACATTTTATTTGCTGAATAAGAGAATATAACGATGATTTATTTTCAAGCATTTTAAACAAACAGTTTCACGCATTTCTGGTTAAATCTATATTTTAAGAACAAATGATAAAAATACTTAGATTTCTTAATGCTTAATGATTTTTAAATTATAAAAGAACAGTTTGTTTTTATTTTCTTTTTTTTTGTTTTTCATCCTTTTTAACAATCTGATATTACAAAGAATTACTTTTGTTAACATAAGACTGCCCCAAATTAATTAATTAATTAATTAATTCATTCATTTATTTGCGCAGTATTTCTGCAATAATCTTTATAAAGATAAGATAACGAAAAATCAGTTTCTGAAAATAAAACGTAATTTTACAATTTTTAAGATTATTGATGATGCAAATTGTTTAAAGTTTGCACATTTTAAAACTTTCATTATCTACAAAAATAATTTAACGTACAAACAATTAACGATAAGAACTTGACAAAATGTATAAAAATGGCAAATAAAGAGTATACTCTGACGCAACTATGATATTAAAAATGGTAATTACAATTTTCTATTATCATGAAATTAAGCATTTCTTTTCTTTCTAAACAAAACCGAATTTGGCATTTGAATTAAAAGAGAGACTGAAGTTTTCAATAATAATTGGAGACTACTGGAGAGTACCGGAGGGTTCTAAATTCAGTGGAGAGAAAATTATTTCTACTGGAGAGCTTTTAAATTTTTACCAAAATATAAATTCTACCGGAGGGGTTTCTATTCCACTGGAGTAAAAACTATTCATATCAGGGAGCCTTGGAATTTGAACCTAAATTAATAATTCTACCGGAGGTTTTTTTTTAATTCATTGGAGGGATTAGATTGTGTAGAAAAATAGGTTTGAATTTTTCCCCAAAGTGATTCATATCTTACAAAAGCATTTTAGATGTATTTCTATACATTACTTGTCTGTCTTGGATTTTAGTTGTCAACAGGAAAATCTAAAAAAAAATTATCTACATTTTGCAGGTTTTCAGATATATCAGTAACAAAAAGCTAAAATTATTACCCAGTAGTGTTTATAATAGCAATAGTTGAAAACCCGGTAAAATATAAATCACTATGGGGAAAAATTCAAACCTTTTTAGTACACAGAGAACATGCCTCCAGTGAATTAAAAAACCCCCCAGTAGAATTTTTTTCTTTGTAAGAACTTAAATCCTCCCTATTTTGAAATGCAATTTACTCCAGTGGAAAAGAAACCCCTCCGGTAGAAGTTATATTTTGGTAAAAATTTAAAAGCTCTCCAGTAGAAATAATTTTCTCTCCACTGGATTTAGAACCCTCCGGTACTCTCCAGTAGTCTCCAATTATTAATGAAAACTTCAGTCTCTAGAATTAAAATCATTTTGTGTAGTTCTCAAGCTGACCCCTACTGACAAAAGAAATAAAATTCGGTGATGGTGATGAACCAAACCTCTGTAGAGTAAAAAAAAAGTAGATGTTAGTTCCACATTTATTGAAAGAAATAAACCTGAAAATCATCCAAAAACTGAAAAAATAACAAAAATAATTTTTATTTGTGTTAAGGATCCATCAATAATGCCAATAAAGACGACAGTAATGCGTAAGACTAGTACACTACCGGTACAAGACGAGTGTATGCAGGTACAGTACATAGAAGTACAGAACAGTAAATACCTGTACAAGACGAGTGTACTGTACAGTACGGTGCAGCTGTAGTTGTAGTAAAGTACAGTACCAAAAAGTACAGTTTAATTTTAAGTTTTTAAATTTGAGGTGTTAAAAAATTATAGCAATAGAGATAAGTTTTAAATTTCATTGACTTCAAATCTAAAAAATTTACAAAAGAATATTTTGTGGAAGACGATGACTGGCCGCGTTAAACAAGTTCCACAAGATTCAACAGAATGAGATAGAAAGGATATGGGGCATAGTACTGATAAATCATCTACACGTGTGATATCGATATTGACTCTAGTTCTGAAACCTCTAGTAATAAGTTATAAGAAATATATATACTGGAAGTTATTTATGCGTTTTTATTAGAGTCTGACTCACATCCTCTGTTTTGGTGACCCCCGACTTTAAACATACAGTTAAACGCTATCCAGTTTCGTGATTTTCTTGAACTTTGAACATTAAGTGATACATCCGAGCATCATGACCGACAAGAAAGAAACTCCAATGAGTTTGTCGCCAAAGTCTCCGTCAAACTCCCGGATTTCTGGCCAGAGGACCCCGTCCTGTGGTTCCTTCATGCAGAGGCTCTTCTTTAAAGTATATTGTATGTAAACAAGTAAAAATATTATGAAATATTAACTTCATACAAATGCATCGAAAAATTATCGATGATTATAGGTTGTAATATCTGAATTATTTGTTTGGAATTAAAGGAATTGAGTTTTTGCCACTAACTCAAATGTTCTAATCCTTTTATTTTTGCAACCTGCCGGTGTAAACTTTTGAAATTTCAAACTTTGATTATATTTGATCTAACATAATTTACAGTTTGAAATATCTGCAGTCTATGACATTGGGTTGTAAAATTATAAGAATTGGAAAATCAGAGTTTGTGGCAAAGACTCAATTCCTTTATATTTTTAATATCCGAGTCGAATATTGCAACTTTCTGAATTTGTACAGACGCTATGTTCTTCAGTATGAGTCGTTTTTAACAATTTTCTCCTTATAGACGGTACGGATAGAAGTAAGATTTGTAGCGATCACCATCGATAATGTTTCGCGAACACTCCCTTGAAGAGAGATCTAACAAATAGAAATGATAAATTTTAAAAGGATTGTAAAGGAAAAATGAAAGGGGGTATAGACTGAAAGCTAATTACTTTAACTCTTGATCGCGATCCATGAAAGTTATATCTGATGTTCCTATCTCAAGAAATAAATATACAACTTTGTCAAATTTATACGAAAATTAATATATATACAATTTTGTATAAAAGTAGTGGGTTAAGATAGATCAAATTCAGCAAGTAAGCAACCAATCTGAAAACGATGATATCCCAGAGAAAGCTAATTGTAACTTACGTTTACTCCAATTCTTATTTTATATTTGTTATTTCTATTTTTAATAGATTTAATTCATAATATTATTTATAAGTCCGTATTATTTGACCAGAAATTCCACCAATGGCAGTGCAGTAAAGTGGTCACGTGATACAGGCGGAGANTATTGTGGAAGACGATGCCTGGCCGCGTTAAACTAGTTCCACAAGATTCAACAGAATGAGATAGAATGGATACGGGGCATAGTACTGATAAATCATCTACACGTGTGATATCGATATTGACTCTAGTTCTGAACCCTCTAGTAATAAGTTATAAGAAATATATATACTGGAAGTTATTTATGCGTTTTTATTAGAGTCTGACTCACGTCCTCTATAATTTTTTATTATTTTTTTTCAGGGACACTGTCAATGGCAAGAAGACCCTTTTCCCCAAACTAGAAAATAATTAATATGTATGTATTAATATATATAATTAATATGTATTCAATAAAAATGCTAAATAAAATTTGTTACAAGTGAATTTGAATGCTTTCTCATTTTAACCCTGGCAAAATAATATTTGACCACTGCATAGTAAAGAATAGTGCGGAAAAGTACAGAATAGTATGGAATAGTACAGAACACTACAGAATAGTAAAGAATAGTACGGAATAGTGCAGATTAGTATGACATAGTACATGGAACATTACAGCATAGTAAAGATTAGTGCGGAAAAGTACAGAATAGTATGGAATAGTACAGAACGTTACAGCATAGTAAAGATTAGTACGGAAAAGTACAGAATAGTACAGTTATTGTAAAAAATAGTAAACCCTATTACAGAATAGTTCAGTGTAGTACAAATAATATACAGTATAAAGTATGTTTAGAATAAAGAATTATTAATTGTTTGAAATATTAACAACCTGAGAGTTAATTACAAAGAAGTTTTGATTGCTAACATATGCTCACAAAAAACTTTATCAAGTTATTTGTAATTTATTTTCTTAAAAAGTAAACTTCAGTAAAACTTAATTAATCTTTATCATGACCTATGTAGTAAAGGCACACATCAAAGCCCGACATTCTTTAAATAATGGCTGTTTGCCAATTTTAGAATCTAGATACTTTTTTCAACAAGTAGCTCAATGTAAAGAACGAGGGGGATATTTAAAAAATTCGTAAAATCTTTGCAAAGAACATTAAAGAGTGTCAAATTAAGACAATCATTGTATTGTTGGGTTTATTCCGCCCGGGTCCAGAGTATTCTTATTTTTTCTTAGGAAGCTTATTAACAATTAAAGTTTTAAGAAAAAATGCATTTCTTGAAACATTCTTCTAAAAAGATTTCCTGCAAACTATTTTAGATTTTGTCTGATTTTATTTTTTTATTGCACAAATTCTTTTTAATGAAATTTGCCATTTTTTTCAAATTTTATATTTTTTATTTTATCTTTTTTTAAATTAAAAAAAATTTCAAGTTTAGACAATCTGACTTTCTTAATCAAAGCTGACAGCTTTTTTCATAATGTGCAATTTTTTATAGGTTTCAAGCATAGTTTGAAAATGCCATAAATATTCAATTTCAAAACTCAATAACCTAAATTAAATCTTACAAAACTTTGATATAAACTATTAAAACTTTTAAAGGATCTCATGAAACTCATAAAACTTTAATAGAAACTGTTAAAACTTTGATAGAAACTAATTAAACTGTTAAAGAAAATCTCCAAAAAAAACTTTTACCAGGGGGAATCAAATGCTACAATTCAGAATCTCATGATAGGAATTGCTAAAAAAGATTTTATCATGGTTCACGTCAAGAAATTTTTAAGATTTATCTATTTATTATTTTTATACAGTGAATCCCAGATATAAGATTACATAGCATAGATCTTATGCCGCGGAAAAACGAGTTTACTATGTCAATTGCTTTTTTGCATATTTCAGTGCTATTAGAAATAAAAAGCAGTTTCCTAAGAAATTAAAAAAAAACTTATGACTCTACAATAATATTTAGACATATTTTCATAAATCGTATTCAATCCTTTGAAGCTGCAAACATATCAGCAGCTTTATTTTTGTGCAGACCAATGATAAAGCATAACAGCTGTCATGAATTTTTAAATAAATTTCAAGAATCAAGACATTTCATATGCTCTTGCTATGTATTCTTTTATCTGAGATGGGCTGTACTGAAAGAGATAAGAACATTAAGAAAACATTGATATTTTACAATACAATAAAAATACAAAAACTTTTTGCAGTGTGTAAACAGTGCCCAAACCCTGTGCAAAATCTTAAATTATTTGGGAATTTGCAGAGATTTTGTTTCAGAGATCATTTACTGACTTGCAGAAACCTTAGACATTTATGCATTTATAACTTTGCATATTTTTACATTTGAAAATGCGTAAATAAATTAGAATTAAAATAACCCTCTTATGGAGAGGAGGGGCAGGGTGCGTTTAGTGCCCACCACCCCTCCCTCCCAACCAAATAATATCTAATTAAAATTTTTTGGTTATTAACTTTTTTTGAATGGGAATTGCGTTAAAATTTTATTTATGTTATATTATTTAGAGTATTCGTAAATATTTACCCTTGAAAATATGACGAGCCCCGAATTACAAAAGTTTTCTTCTAAATCTGATCAAAAATGTGAAAGAAACCTTCGTTTTTTTTCACCACAATATAGTTTCAGTAGAAGTAAATATTTTCATTTACTGATACCGCCGATGAAAGGATTCATATCTCTAATTGAAAAATGAGAAAGATAGAAAGATAGATGTTACCGCCATGCAATTTCTATTGGTTCAGAATAGGCAACAAACACATGACTGGATCAGGCGCTAATGGACTCGGCATAGTAGAATGACTAGGAAGGCGTTTATTTCTGCTAATTTCTCCATTGGTTTTTATAAGCAAGAAATGCGCAATTCACTTTTGCAGTGAAACCGCAAATGCAAATAAACAGTTAAATAATCAAAAACATTGATATCTAATTCATGCTTGATTAGACAAAGCTTTTAATGGTACCTTTGTAAATCGGGACACTTGAAATTACGTTAACAGTTCCTTTAAAAAGTACAAATTAGAAAGTCTATTTGATTTTGAACCTGAGCCGACGAAAATTACTAAACAGAACTAAACATGTTTCCATTTGACATAAATAGATTAGACATTAGTATTCTAGAATATATCCTTGTCTAACAGAAGATGAATGGGCCGGGAGGAGGGGGGGGGGGGTTAATTTGCAGAATTAACCCCTTTTTTGTTTAATTAGTTATAATTTAGAAAAAATGTATCATTAAATGTTCAGTATCCGTTAAACAACTGAAAGAAATTGAGTCTTTGCCACTAACTCTGAGTTTCTAAGACTTACAACTTTTCAATTTGACGTCGTGGAATTACTTATTACATACAGTCTAATTTTGAAATATTATAGGTTTTTACTGTCAGGTTGTAAAGATATAGGGATTAGAACAGTTTGTGGCAAAGACTCAATTTCTTCTCATGTTTCATTTTTTGTTGTCTTTTTTTTATCTAATCATGAAGTTTTTACCCGCCTAACAAGGGTTGTTTTAATTAGATGGCCCATAATAAATGCAAAATTCACAATTCATATATGCACACATGGAAAATGAATTAAATAGCTGTGATCGTTCTTTACTATAAAACTAAACTTTTAGTTCAATTAACGGAGTTTTCCGTTTGTTAATGAAATTAACGGATTTAACGGTAGATATTATGAATATTTGTTATCATATTTTTACAGTTAACAGTTGATAATTTCGTTAACGAAAGTGGTTCTTCTGCATATTAAATGTTTTTGGGTTTAAACTAAAGAAAATACAGGAGTCGACACAAAGAAAACTTTATTACACCGCGTATACAAAATCATTTATGCAATCTAAAAATAAAAGTTTACGAAATATTTTGTTATTTATTGACTTTTTTGATAAAAATTATCTATTCGTTTTTTCTATAATTGACCGTTAATTTTAGTAAATATGCTCACCTGTTCAACATAAATAGAATGTAACAGATACATATAATTTATATATTTTATGATGTCCAGGACATATTAATTTTTTCCGCTCTTTAGGACAAATGATCAGTAGGACAAATGATGTGTTTGACAAATGATGTGTTTAACAAATGATGTGAAGGACAAATTAAGTGTAGGACAAATCATGTGTAGGACAAATGATGTGTAGGACAAATGATGTGTAGGACAAATGATCAGTTGGACAAATGATCAGTAGGACAAATGATCAGTAGGACAAATGATCAGTAGGACAAATGATCAGTAGGACAAATGATCAGTAGGACAAATAAATGATCAGTAGGACAAATGATGTGTAGGACAAATGATGTGTAGGACAAATGATCAGTAGGACAAATGATCAGTAGGACAAATGATCAGTAGGACAAATGATCAGTAGGACAAATGATCAGTAGGACAAATAAATGATCAGTAGGACAAATGATGTGTAGGACAAATGATGTGTAGGACAAATAATGTATAGGACAAATTATGTGTAGGACAAATGATCAGCAGAACAAATGATCAGTAGGAAAAATAAATGATCAGTTGGACAAATGATGTGAAGGACAAATGATGTGTAGGACAAATGATGTGTAGGACAAATGATCAGTAGGACAAATGATCGGTAGGACAAATGATCAGTAGGACAAATGATCATTAGGACAAATGATCGGTAGGACAAATGATCAGTAGGACAAATGATGAGTAAGACAAATGATCAGTAGGACAAATGTTCAGTAGGACAAATAAATGATCAGTAGGACAAATGATGTGTAGGACAAATGACCTGTAGGACAAATGATCTGCAGGACAAATGATCTGTAGGACAAATGATGTTTTGGACAAATGATGTGTAGGACATACAAAGTTTATCATAAACTAGACAAAGTTTATCATAAACTAGACAAAGTGACTTAATTTAACGACAAATAATCCTTCTTTAAAGTATATTGTATATAAACAAGTAGCAATATTATGAAATATTAACTTCATACGAATGCGTCGAAAAATTATCGATGATTATAGGTTGATGTAATATCTGAATTATTTGTTTGGAATTAAATTGATATTTTTAATATCCGAGTCGAATATTGCAACTTTCTTAATTTGTACAGACGCTAGGTTCTTCGGTATGAGTCGTTTTTAACAATTTTCTCCTTATAGACGGTACGGATAGAAGTAATATTAGTACAGATAAGGGTTTCTATGGTATACCGTGTGCATAGGGCCATCACTTGAGAAAACTTGATCCGAACTTTCACGCTTCAATCTGATGCAGTTTATATTTTTATCTACATCTATTTGAATCCTTCTATCTGACCTGTACCTATCGATCTATCTATCTATCTATCAACTGTGGAGTTCTGACCGACGTGAGTACTAGCTGCTCTAGTCTCCTGTAGTCTCCTGCTCCTCCCACACCGCTGGTCAACCCACAGGGTGCAATATTAATACAGTGAAACCAATCTCACGTCAAACTAACTACAACAAATCTGTCTGTGAAACATTTTCAGTCTTATTTATTATTAAGTCTTATTTGATTTCTCAAAATTCATTAAAAATAGCGTATAAGTCCATATGGACTTTAATATTAAATAAATATAGCCCAACAAAAAAGTATTAAATAGTTAAAACAAAAAACCTCAAATTAATAGGTGAAAATGGGTTCGAAAGTTAAGACTCATTATACTTTTAATCAGGATCTCTAGTTTACCGTGATCTATTAGAAAACAAATATTTCTAACTTTTTAAATTTCTAATAATCTAAAATTACACTACAATTAAGAGGTGAAAATCAAACACAAAGTAAAAGGACGTATTCACAAGTGACTTTCCATTATTGGAGTGCCATGTCCGATTCACAACGTTACCCTTTATACATTTATCTGATCAAAGATGAAGGGGATATTCTTTTTCCATCTGAAAATTTATCAATTTCAAGTGTGGTTTCTCTGTAACAGATTCTTGCGTATACTCATATTAAAGTTACAATTGGAAAATGTAAAATTTTACACTTTTTAAGATATTTCAACTCACATAAAAGTTTTAAAGTTTTATCGAAGTGAATCGGACATGAGAGGTCCCTTGAATCTTTATTTGCAATTTTTTAATTGCAAACATTTGTTTATTGGGAGTAGAAAAACTAAAAATTTATGGAGAGAAAAAACAAATAGTCACCTCTTTCAGGAAATTGGTCAAAAAACCGTCCAAATTAAAGAGACATGGGTGTTGCTAACAGAATTTTCATAAATCTTTTAAAGAAGTCTCTCTAACTTTGATTTTTTTATGGGCATCCTTCTGTGTGGGTGGCCCCTGGGGGAAGGGATAGAGATAGATACTATCTGATATGTTTTGAAAGATAACAGACAAAAGAAAGATAAAATAAAAACTGGGACAGAGTTTTTAGCGGACATTTAACTGAAATCTAAATTAAAATTGCTATTTCAAAAAAATCTTTTTACATTTTAATTTTACTCATTTTTTCAGCTGAAGAGAAGTAAAAAGAAAGAAAAAAACTTGTAGCTCTGATATCATAAAACCCTTGTTACAAATACTTCAAAACAAAGTCATCTTACAATTAACTAATTTAGTGAGTAATTATGATTGAAAAATCTGATAGCATGTGTTCATTTGCACCCCCCACCCTACCCATCTTACGCATTTGTAGCTCAAAATTGTTTTGTGCTTTGCGCAATATTGGTGAAAAATTTAAATGATTCACCATAATTTTTAATGACTCATAATTCTGGACCAAATTCAAAATCTTAATCTTTTAATCTCATCTACAAATTTGGATCATCAATCCCAAACGTACTTTACTCCAGGAAAATTGTTAAAAAATATTGCCAGGATTATGATGAAACCCCTTTTTTTAGTCTTTTAGTTTTTAAAAAATTATAATTAATTCACAAAACTACAATCGAAGTGTGATTCAATTCCTTTGGATCATCAATCCCAAACGTACTTTACTTCAGGAAAACTGTCAGAAAATTGTAACTGGTGTGAGCTCAATAGCTCGGAATATGGATAGTTCCATTGATGTAACCCCTTCAGTTCTCATACGAACCCGGAGCTAAGCTCAGATTGGATAGTTCCATTGATGTAACCCACTCAGTTCTCAAACGAACACATTGTCAAGTATGTCTGTAAATCGAGCGTATACAGTCTGTCAGTCTTAAATTTCATTTTAGATATTTACCAAAATGTTTAAGGTAATTTAGAAAATAAAATATAAATTCTAGACTGTTGAAAGTTAACTAGTTTTTAAATGTTAAAAGGTTGTTGGAAGGTTTCTATGAAACCCCGTGGTTAAAGAGGCTGTAGTTGAAATTTCGAGTTATCTTTTTTAAAAGAGTGCCGAGTGGCATAGATAATTCACTTCAGTACTGTTTAAACCTTGGTATCGTTAATGAAATTCTTTTAGTAAAGATTCACATTAAATTACGATAACAGTCCGATTAAGGTTTATTTAATTGAAACTAAATTCAATTAATTAATATAAACTAGAAATCAAAATGATCTTCTAAACTAAACAGTAAACACAGGCCAAAAACTTTCATTTTCTTATTGCTAAATGTAATCTTATTTTGTCTCTTATCCTTGGCTCTAATCCTTTTATATTTGAATTTTGATTGTTAGATCTACAGGGTGTCCCACGAAACATGACAATAGCAAGACGACTTGAAAGTCGTTTTTGATATTTGAATTTATTTGTGACATTTAGTCTTTTATCTACTTTAACATGTATGATTCTTGAAACAATTATCACATAATTCTCCTAGCCCTGGCATTTCCAAAAAGTGGTCTGCGTTTTTTGTGTTTTCAATATTACCGGAGATATAAAGAGTTTGGTTCAGATTTCAATTTTGTTAAATAAAAGCAAAATTGTCGAAATCTGAACGAAATTGTTCATATCTCGGGCAATATTGAAAGCACAAAAAATGCACACCACATTTTGGAAATTTTGTGCTTATTTGGAAATGGCAGGACAAGGGAAATTTTGTGATTATTATCTCTAGAAATTTACTTCTAAAATTAGGTTGACAAAAAAATGCAGCAAATTATATCAAAAATCAAGACGATATTCAAGTCGTCTTGCATACTGTCATGTTTCGTGGGACACCCTGTAGCTGAAGTCAAAGTTTAAAATATTAACGTCTACCTACCCAATCAGGTTTACAAAAATAAAGAAAAGAACTTTAGATTGTAGCATCGGTACTCTTGAACACTTGATCATGATATCCAATCATAGAGAATAGAATATATATTAGAGGGGAATTTAAAGAATATCTCGGTATGAATTTTTTCAGTCCCTTTCAGCCTGAAAGGGAGTTCAAATTGTACAAATCATGTAAATGTTCACAAATTCAGTAGAGTACATTAATACAGTATGTTCCCTATACTATCCATTTCAATTTCGAATTTTTTAAAGCTGTTAAATAAACTTTATAATGAATTAGGTGAATAACAACATCATTTGATTTATAGTTATAACGAAAAATCACCGTTTGTAAAATGAAATACATAGAGTCTATGTGAAATGATCATTGGCCAATTATATTAATTATTTCATAATTTGGTTTTCTTTTAATATTAATTTTAGATTTTCTATAAAATGATTTTCCAGGGCTCAAAAGGTAAAAGCATAAATATGTGAAGTACACCTGCAGTATGGAAACAGTACACCAAAATGGCCGTTTTACACTTTTTTCTAGTAAATTCCCCTCTAATATATATTCTATTCTCTTTGGTTTCAACAGTTAAACAAATGTTGTAGCATAATATATTTTTAATTACATGTATCTAAATCATAAGCAACAAATCCAAATATTTTGTCAAAGACCCGCCTTGATCCACTTGTGTATTTTGTTAGTACAGCATCTCTTCAATTGGAAAGAACAGGAAGAATTCAAAAACATTCCAATAGTTTTGCAGTCTTGANAAAGTTAAAAGTTTTGACAGTAAAACACTGTTTTACACAGTGTGCTTTCTGCCATTTAACCCTAGAATTGAAATCATCCTTTTTATTCAATTAGTTCTCAGTTTTTATTCCTCCTTTCAGAAAATATTTTTGCTTAAGTCACTTTTGAAAAGTTACCCCATCCTACGAACTTTTTATAAAAAGTAATCGTTATGGTACAGTGATAACCAGAAAACTTTGAATATGAATTCGACTTTTAGAACATAAGCATAAGCACAGGAATTGTGCAGTGTAAACAGACACATTTTACTCAATAAGAGATTCAATAATTTACTAGTAAAGCTATTTGCTTTGTAACAACATTAAATACACTTCAATATAGATTTAATGTCGTCTTTCTATTCTACAGTATTCTGGTTATTACTGTATTCAGTATGGTATAACTTGCAATAGATAATTTTAAAGTCCCATTGAAACAAAAAATTATCAGGAGCGATTGTAAATGGAAAAATATTATTAAATCGTTTATAAAATAAAACTTTGCCTATATCAATTTCAATAAATTGTGACTAACTTTATTCAATAATTGGTTCGCTGATCAATTTATATTGTATTGCAGCTTGACGACCAGGTGACTCACATTACCCATAGTATGAACCAAGACCTTTAGTGATACTAGATAAACCAGTTTAGAAGTGCAAAATGGGTCCGTTTATGGTAGAGATTGTATTCTGCCGGGTGACCCGGCGGGGCAGGAAGAAGAAGTCAGGGATGAACAAGCTGGCTCGAGAAAACTGCAGAAATGACGGACCTATGCAGAGCTTTATCCCCAAGGATGATATGGTCAAGGTTACATTGGATCTTTCCGATAATGGACCCGTCTTCAGCGCCTTGGACGATATGATGCTTCGTATGTCCCTCGAGGCTTGTGAAGAGGGGGCTAAAAAGAAAGCTGCTGGTGGTGCTGATGCTAAGAAGGCTCTGAAGAATCTGCTGAGGTCTGGTATACCCGGGATAGAGGGTATGTTCGGTGGTCCTGAACCACCCCAACCAAGATTCGGTAAGAAGGGAGGAAAGAAAGGATTCCATAAAATGAACGATGGATCGAAGAAGAAGTTCATGACCGCCATCTTTGGAGAAGATGGTACCCAGATCGACACCAAAACGGCTGCAGCACTATTGGCAGCAACATGTAGCGGGGGTAACCCTGAGATAGGAAACAAGCTTGCTGAACTCCTAGTTCCTAATATGGGAGAGACGGTGGATCCAGCTATGATGGCAGCACTCATGTCTGCATGCTCTTTAATCAATGCTGGAGCAGGCACAGAAGAAGTAAGCTATAACAACCAATGGGATTTAGCTTTGGAACTTTACTTCTCATTTATTCTACGGAAGTTTGATCCGTTTTTAAACATTTAGGTTTCTTTTTGGGTTTTAGCTAGCTTCGTAAAAATCAAGTTTATCATGTTCATGATTTTACACATTTCTTGTTTTTTTTATATTATGCAAGAAATACCAAATGTTAACTAAGAGTTTTTCAAGTCCAAATCTTTGGTTAGAGTCTATATGTCCTTTAGTTTTAAATACTTGTAGAACATACAAAATTAAAAAAAAACTTTGAGGTTCTAAGATTTTTAAGAAGATTGAAAGCCAAAAAGCAACTCAATGATTGAAAACAGATCAAATATGTAAGTTGCGTATATCGCTCTTATACTTGAAAAGTACATTTAAAAATAGATGGCTATGTATTAGAACATGTCATTCTATATAACACATATATTCGGAGGTTTTGGTGTATTAGAACATGTCATTTTGTAAAATCTATATTCTGAGGTTTTAGTGACTTAGAATATGTCATTCAATATAATACAGATCTGAAATTTTACTAGCTTAGAAATATTCATTCTATATAATTATTGACACTTTTAGAACATTTCATACTAAATAATACATACTCTGAGGTTTAATGACATAGAACATGTCATTCTAAATAATACACTAGCTTGGAAACCCGGCAAACAAACAGACAGGCAAACAGAGATTATATACGGTGGTAGGCAATAATATCAATATTATGAAGACGACTTTTTTATTTAAGTTTTTATTGTTTTATATATAGGTATTCTGATGTATAAATAAATGTTTAATGCAGGTGATGAAAGCTATGTTGGAAGAGCTTCAAGCCTCAGGGATGACAGAAGATGAGATCCTGGAGAAAACCCAGCTTCTGATGAAGGCCTTCGGGAAGGAGGACAGCGCCAGCACTGCAGAGTACAAACTACTTAGGTAAGTTGAGGTGGTAACTCTTGAATTGTGAATATTGAGATCAATGCTTGGTCTTCATTTTTTGTTAATCTTCAGATTATTATATTCTTTATCCACTAAAGTGCCTAACAGTCTACCAGTCAGAGTGTCCCAAAACAGAGGATTAAGAAAATCATAAGTTTCCACAGTGGATATTCAGATTAAGCGATCGGGATTAAGGGTATACAATCAGAAGCTCTGAACTATCAACGCCACTACCCCTGAGCGCGATCTTATTTACTATGTCAACTAGACAATAGCGATCTATTGATCAATGTCTCAAACAGGACACGATCTTTCACTTGCATGTTTCAACGAAAACCAAATTACTCTGCACTGTAATCATAGCGGAGTTTCTATATTAACTGTATTTGAGGTTTATATGTTACAAGTTGAAGTTAATAGATGTAATTTCAATTCCTACATCGTTATGTATATCACATGCTTAAGCCAATCATGTTAGGTATTAAAGCACAGTTGAAATTTCACATCAAATCACATATCACATTATTTAAGCTTCTTATGCTATGTATTCATTTGAAACGCAGTTTAAATGAATAATGGGTTCTTCGTAAAAGTTTACAAAAGTAGATAGTTAATGATGTACAACGTACTGCAGGTTTACAGAATATCATTTTTACCAAGGAAAATTGAATACAAGGGTATCCGTAAAGATTGTAAACAATGACACAAATGATAAACAGACATTTGGTGCATCTTTGGCGTTAGATGAAGTTTCACCGTATACTAACTCATGTTTGTATACATTAGATCGGCTGCCTTTATTATAGTTTATACGCAAAAACTAGTTCTCCAGCAGTCCAAAAACGTCACAGCAAAGTGTACGGAAACCCTATTGCCCCCTCCTTGTATTCAATACTCCTTGATTTTTACCCAATATTCATTACAGTCATACCCTGGAGGGATAACTTTAATTGAGGGATCAAGCATTTATCCTCAAATTAAAAAGTCCCCACATTTGATATCAAGTTCAAGAGTTCAATTCAAGATAAACCTATACATAAGTTTAGACCTCATAGAACTATTCAAGACCGAAATAGATTTTAAAAAAAGTTTTTAAAGGTTTTTCTTTTCAAAGGAATTGAGTCTCTGCCACAAGCTTGATTTTTTAATCCCAATATCTCTGTAACCCGTTGTCGTACTGCTTAGATATTTCAAACTTAAAATATTTGATCCAACAATTTTCATAGTTTGAAATATCTATGGTCTACGATATTGGAAAGATATAAGGATTAGAAAATCAGATTTGTGTCAAAGACTCAATTCCTTTGATCAATATCATATTAACATCCTTTTTAACCCTATTCATACACTTATTTGTTAAATAGATTATACTTTTAAAAACGTAATTTCAAGTGACACTCCAGCAAAGATGGAAATGTCCTATTCTCAATTCGGTACATTAAAAGCTTTGCCTGATCAATTGTATGATTTAGATATCAATTTTTATAAATATGAAAACTAATAACTTTCATTTGGGATTTCTTTACAAAAGTGACTTGCTAATTTTTACTGCGGAAAGCATAAAGAAATAATCAGATTTAAACATTGCTCATGCTTGAAAAACGACAATATCTTCCACAATAATTATCAGATAATGGTTTCAAGGGTACCGTTGTGAATCAACAATTACCATCTTTGCTTGGAAGGTCACTTAAAAATTACACTTACTGTGCATTTAAAGTTTAAATCTAAAATTTTATTTTAGTAAACAGAAAAACAAGGCCCTTCATCAGGCTGGAATTTCACCAAAGGATTTTACTGCGGTAAGTTTTACAATTCAAATTAAATCAAATTATAAAGAAATTGAGTTTTTGTCACACACTCTGATTTGCTAATTCCTCAAAGTTTGCAACTATGAATTTTGTTACATCAAATTTTCTTAGATATCAATATCAAAGGTCTTCAACATCAAATGTAAGCAAAGGTGCAGGGATTAGAAAATTTAAGTTTGAAGCAAACACTCAATTACTTTGTTTCTAAACAAAGGAAATGAATTTTGGCCACAAACCTAAATTTTCTGATGCAAATATATTTGCAACCTGATGGTGTAAGCCTGTGATATTTCAAACTTAGACAATTTGATCTAACAGAATTCAAAGTTTGAAATATTAAAGGTCAACTATACTGGGTTGCAAAGATATAAGGATTAGAAAATCAGAGTTCGTTGCAAAAACTCACTTCCTTTCCGCATTGTAAACAAAACTCAACCTAAATAGCAATGAGCATGTACAGTACACTTATTTTGTAAACAAAGATATAAAGATATATGGGTTCATATTGTGCAGTGTTTTTCTTAATTAACCCATTCCCGGTCATATTCTGCATCAATCGACAAATTTAAAACATTAAACCGATAGAAAGCGATAGTTATACTTTCAATAANATATTTAACCATTATCATTGCAGTACGTACCGAATATATTAAACCATTATAATTGCAGTACGTACCGAATATATCAAACCATTATCATTGCAGTACGTACCGAATATATCAAACCATTATCATTGCAGTACGTAACGAATATATTAAACCATTATCATTGCAGTACGTACCGAATGTTTAGTTTTTGATGCTAAACAGCTCTTTATGAAGAAAAATTGTCAAAAATATGTCTAGAAAGTTGTGAATTCTGTTGATTTTCTTCATTGTGTCTGAAGTATAAATTCGGAAGTAACCATGAAAGAGAAACCACAATTAGAAACCACAATTAAAAATAATTAGTTTTTAAAAAGAAAAAGAAGAATACATCATGTATATCAGACATAACACACACTACAGTATACAATTACAGTGCAGAACGACGTTATCGTTAATTTTGAATTCGTTTGATAATTGAAACATGCATCCAACCTTAATTCAAAATTATCTTTTTAACTTAATCGCAATTCCTCAAGGATTATAGAGGAATTTGGGCGGGATTAAGAAGGAATTAGGAAACACATTAAATATATTTTAATAGACATTAAGACACATCTTACACAACAGACAAACACATCTACACAACGGACAAATACATCTTACACAACGGACAAACACATTTCACAACGGACAAACACATCTCATAACGGACAAATACATCTCACAACAGACAAACACATCTCACAACAGACAAATACATCTCACAACGGACAAACACATCTCGCAACAGACAAATACATCTCACAACGGACAAACACATCTACACAACAGACAAACACATTTACACAACAGACAAACACATCTCACAACAGACAAACACATCTCACAACGGACAAATACACCTCACAACAGACCAATACATCTCACAACGGAAAAACACATCTACACAACAAACAAACACATTTACACAACAGACAAACACATTTCACAACGGACAAACACATCTCACAACGGACAAACACATCTCACAACGGACAAACACATCTCACAACGGACAAACACATATACACAACGGACAAACACATCTACACAACGGACAAACACATCTACACAACGGACAAACACATCTCACAACAGACAAACATATCTCACAACAGACAAACACACACATTCTTTACACACAATTAAGTTAAGTATTTGATGTGACTACTGCTAACAGTGACTACTGTTTACATGTTCATGACCTTATAAAAATTATTCAAATTTTTCTAAATTTTTAAATTTTCAGCAGCTGGGAATATTATTCGTTTTAACTTTTGTCAGTGTATAATTCCATGTGACCCTTCTTTTAAAAGGAATGTAAGTTTAATTTCAAATGACTCTCTCTGTAAAGATGGCAATGTCCGATTTACAACGGTACCCTTATAAGATTTGTCTGATCAACTATGAATTAGATTTATGTCATGTCCCTTTAACTGTTTAACCAAAAAGAATTTTTTTTTGACTTTCTTTTATAAAATATGATTTTTTTCATCTTAAAATCAATTTATGTTTTCTATGAAAAATCGAGTTACGCATTTCCTGCTTATAAGAAAGAACGGAGAAATTATCATAATTTAAAACTTTTCGATTCAGAAAAACGAGGTTATCTTCCACATTTTTATCAAATTAAGGTTTCAAGAGTACCGTTGTAAATCTGGCATTGTCATCTTTGCATGAAGGGTAACTTGAAATTACGCTTACGGTCCCTTGAAGGAGTTACATGACCGATTCACAACGGCACCCTGTGAAACGTTATCTGAGTAACAATGACTTCATTTCCCTCTGCTGCATAATTCACATTGTTAAATAGAGAAACCGCATTGGAAAGATAAATTTTGAGATAGTAAAACAAGGATAACTTAATCATTAATGCTCGGAGAGTTTTTAAGTGGTACCGTAGTGAATAGGGTATGCCACTCTTGCACTTTGCAAATTTCAGAAAAGTCCATTTAAGCAAACTTGTTCGATTTCCCTTCTTAGCTTTAGTTAAAACACTAGAACCAGATAAATGATTTAAGTTTGATGATGAGACATGTTATCAAAACGAAAAAACGACTTACATACTTCTCAGTGAAACGCATATTTTTTTGCGTCAGCCTGTGTTTTTCTGAGACCCCCCATCCCACTTGTATGAATATGAGTAATGATCCTATCCACAAAGTTATCTACACTGTCAATCGTTTTCTAAAAGCAGCCCTTGTTGTCTAACTTTTGTTTTCATGAGGAAATTTTAGTGTTTGTTTTTAATTTTTTTCATGGAGAAAAACAGAAATAGATCAGTTCATAATCTAATTAGGATCCATCCAGTTTTCTTTTTCCTTTTATAGCTGTGGGATTTTTAATTCTAATTTAATTTTTATAAAAGAGATTTTTTTGTCCCCAGGACATGATCGGGTTGTTACGATCAAATATCGGATTTTTTTTCATTCCGAACATTTGATGTTGTAATCTGGGGTTGTAATCTGGCAGCACATTCATCCATTTACGCTTCATTCATACTGAGAAGAGTGCTTACAAGAATCTAATTGCCTTAAATTAATCAAAATGTTTTAAAAACCTTTCTTTGTAAATTAATTAGAAAAGGTTTTGTAATTTCTAACCGAGTATTTAAGAAAAATAGTCCGCATCGAGTCCAAATAAACTGTTAACTCGCCTAAAATTTTCTAATCTTTTTATCTTTGAAACCTGCCGATGTATACTTTTGGTATTTTAAACTTGGACTATTGGAACAAGCAGAGTTTTTAGAAAAGGTCTGACATTTGCTTCACAAAAATATAAGGATTCGCAAATTAGAGTTTGAGGGAAGTCCTGTCTTGTTGAGACCAATCGTGGAGAATAGGAATTGAGTTTTTGCCACAAACTCAAATTTTCTAATCCCTAAATCTTTGCAATCTGCATGGTGTGTAAACATTTAAAACTTCAAAATAAGATTATTTAACGACCAAAATTGATAATTTGAAATATGAAAGTATTACGACATTGGGTGTGGAAAATACATGCTAAAATTTAAGTTTTTCAGAACCTTTTTTTTTGAAGTAGAAATCCGATAGAAACTTTAAATACCCATCAGATTCCTCAAAAACTCGCACACGAACTCCATAAAAAACGAACGAACAGTTTCTTTACTTTTCTTCGTTTTCCGTGTATAAGTATGTGAGTACAGAGGTTGGCCCTGAGGCTGGGGCGTGGGTGGAAAGCTGACCCTTGGCTAATGGATCAGTAAACATACTTTCAGATAGATGATAGATAGATAGATATATATATATGGATAGATAGATAGATAGATAGTTATATGGATGGATAGATACATAGATAGATAAACAGATAGATAGATAGATAGATAGATAGATAGATAGATAGATAGATAGATAGATAGATAGATAGATAGATAGATAGATAGATAGATAGATAGATAGATAGATAGATAGATAGATAGATAGATAGATAGATAGATAGATAGATAGATAGATAGATANGAGGGGGAAGTGAAAAAGAGGAGGTTGCTAAGATTATTCAGAACAGAGATTGAATTCAAGAGAAATTAAGTTAAACATACTTAACCTTACAAGAAGCTTTAATTATGAGGTATTGAAAACATAACAAAGAGCAATATAATCAATCAAAATTAGGAAAAAGAAGCATTAAATTAATTAAAAAAATATAAATTGCAATCTTTTGCCTTTTTAAAGAATTGAGTTTATGCTACAAATGCTAATCCCTATATCTTTGCAACCTGATGGTGTAAACATTTGAAATATTAAACTTAGATAATTTAATCTACCAGAATTCAAAATTTTAAATTTCTAAGATCTGCGCCATGGGGTTGCAAAGATATAGGAAATAGAAAATCAGAGTTTGTGACAAAGACTCAATTTCTTTAAACGATTAAAAGTGAAGTTTACTTTAATACACCTGAGACAGTGATTGACAAGGGCTCCTTCTGTGAATTGTATGAATGCACTCAATGCATATATTTGTCTAAAGACCTAGAAGTTAAGAGAAATGTTAATTTTCTAGACAGACATCATCTGTTATTGTACGAAAGACCCCCAAAATACTTACAGCTGTCTTTTTCTGCACACAATATTTTAACAGCCATTCGCAAAATTATCCAAAACTTGAAATTCCAAAGAATATTACTTTTGTTAAAAGGACTGTAAGCGTAATTTTAGTGACCCTCCATGCAGAATAAAATTCCAGATTAACAACTGTTTCCTTTAAACCTTTACCTGACCATTCATGTGAAAGTTTTTTTTCCAGGTTAAAAAGAGTTTATTTATGATGATTTTTATATGTTTTCCTGCAGTAGATTTGCGCAAGAGAAACCACAATAATTAGTTTTCAAAATTTTAAATTTCTAATATATACTTTGTCTGAAAAGGTTTTTATTAGCCAGCGTTGTTCGAGTTGGGTTGCATGGAGGGTCACTAGATATTATGCTTACAGTCCCTTTAAGTTATTACCCTGTTCACAGTCTGTAAGTTTGAGTTTAAAACTGCATTGTTAAAAAGCTACTGAAATCTGATTCTATTATATATTTTAAACTGAGTTGAACTCTTTCTGAAAACTTGCTAAAAAATTCAAAAATATAAAATACCATTCTTATCTGAATCTGAATGAAGAAATTCATTATTTGGACAAGCCTTATCTAAAGTTTGAAAGAAATCAGATGTAGCAAAAATATTTTTTTCTAGAATATTTATTTAAATTTTTTACATTTTTCATGTTTAGATCATGTTGGCGCACAAGGCAATTGCTGCTTGTGGAACAACCCCAGAAAATGTAGCGAAGATGTTTATAATAATCAGCATTCTCTCTAAAAAAGGAGGAAACTCAATGCACATTGCGAATGTTATGAAAAACCTGGGTCCAATTAGTGATGAATTAAAACAAGAAATTAAATCAGATATTATAACGTCCTGGAACGACTGCACCAAGTTGGGGAAGAAAGATGTTGCCTGTCCAGCCCGTGTACACATGTCCCTTGATAACGAGAATGAACCATCTTGGACTGAAGTTAAAAATATCAAAGATATTGTTGGTGGAGTTTCTCCTACCTCCCAAGAAGCTATTGAGCTGAATCTGGCAAGAGCCACAAAATCTGGAGGACTGAAGAAGGATGATATAGGTAGAGCTAATATTGCTCTCAGGGCTATCTCTGCTTTAGGTGTTGACCCTGTTCAGCTTGCTAAAATTCTCTTCCTGGAAAAAACTATCTGCGATAATGGAGTTCCTGCCGTTGAGGTTGCCAGAGTTTTATCTGACGGCCTTATGCCAATGGAGGCCACTCAAGGATTAATTGCTGAAGTAGAAAACCAGATTCTAGAGGACATTAAACCAGTTGACATTGATTCTGCAGTAAAAGTTTATAACAATCTAAAATTTAAGTCTAACAATCCAACAGAGATCATTGAATATGTTGATAAAACTCTTATTCAAGTTCGTTGCTCCCTAGAAGATGTAGCAGATAATATGATCAGCACAATGCGAGGTCGAGGAGAAAAGGAGGCTAAGATTGCACATGATGTAACAGAAACTCTAAAAAAGACCGGAGCATCAGCAAGTGTAGTAAGTGCCACAATGATGCCCCCGTTGATAGAACTAACTGGAAAGAAGGAAGTAGAATTAACTAAACTTATCGGAAGAAATCTGAAAGAAGTGGAGTATCCAAGTAAGTAATATTTAGATAAATAAGACTCACTGTTTAATTCTAAAAACTTTCTATTCTAGCTGAAGAGGTTAAGACAGCTGTAGTCGACATGGTTGTACGAATTATTGATAATGACCCATCTCAACACTCTGAAGCGTGTGCTTCATTGGAATCTGTGTTTAAAGACCTAGGAGAATTCCCAACTGCAATCAAGGTAAAACTTTTTTAAATTGGGCCGAAGGAACTGCTCCTTTGATGCTCCATTCGCTGCTTTGCAGATTTCAGTGAACTAAAAAAGCTTGAATTCGCCATTCTCAAAGCTTATTTGAATTTTATAAAATTTGACATGTATTATTATCTTATCCTTTAAAATAATTACATGCTGTCTCTTTCAGTTGTTATCAATATAAAGGGTTATTATTCGTAATTACGCAAAATTACGTAATTTAAAACCATTCCTTAGTAAGTAAAGAACATATTTATTCTCAAAAATGTATATAGCGGGAAAATATGTGGAAAGATATGCGCGCTTCAACCATGTCCAATCTAATAGGATAATTTAAATACTTTCAAATTAAAGTTTTGCTAATTAGGCGATAATTATAAGCAAAATTTCGCAACATTACTTTGTAGAAATTACGCTCAAATTACAGCATAATTTTGCGAAAATTGAAGTTTCATCAATTACGCGTAATCCTGCAAAATTACACAGAATGAAATTATTTCGCGTAAGTGAATAATCTATTACATTGGAAACCCTAAATATACTATAAAATAAGCTCTACAATCTAAATCTTTAGGATTTCATTGCTTCAAATCTACCCCCGCCACCAACGCCCCCAGAGGAAATAGAACGAAGGAATCAGATAGCGGAGGAGCTGGCTAGGTTGACAAGAGAGGAGGAGGAGAGAGAACGAATTAAATTATTGAAAGCAGAGAATCCTAATTATGAAGCGGAGGATAAAGCAAGTAAGTAACAAGTATCTAAACATGAGTTTAAAATGGAAAATATATTCTCAATTTAACATATTTAAAACATGAATTAATATTTTTACCTTCTCTTGCATTTTTTTACAAAAATTATAGCAAAATTTGTTTGTAACCCATATCTAAGATTTTTTAAAACTAAAAAAACACAGAGATGAAAATCATTTTCTATCCTCAGTCGTTTTTGGACTCCCTGTACAGCAGTCATCATACACATAAAATATGTTTAACTGACAGGATAAATTAGTTTACAAATTACCTGCATAACTTTTATTAGTATATTTAGTAAATAATTTAAAAATAGTTTTTAATTTGTTAAAATTCTCAACTCTGATTATATTTATACATGTGTAAAGTGTGAAAATTAGTTTTCAGGCTCGGGCCAATTTATTAATAGGGCATATCCCAGCATCAGTATTGAACATGATTAAAGCCTGAAATTTTATATTCAAATAAATTTCTAAACTTGAAAATGATATTTGCTGATAGTGGCTATATTTGATAGATCTTTAAGATTACATCTGAACTATGTAAATGATACAAACCCACACCAATATAACTGTACTGCAACCAGGCAAACGTTTAAGCTGCTAGAGCAAGCAGTACAGTACACATTTACAGACTATATAAGGCAAACTGGGACATTATATCACATGAATGAGCTCCTTACACTCTACCTGGATAGGCTGAGCAGGCCTATAGTGTCCCGGCACGCCATGCTACGGTTCCATGTTTTATGACTGACATCTCACTGCCCCTTGTTGCATTCAGGGGTTTTTACAACTTTTAAAGAAATACTCCAATTTTAAACATAAAACATAACGTTTATGAATATTGTCTATTTTTAAAGATTTTGCATTTCCTATTTAAAGGTTCCTTAAATATCCCTGGATACAGATGTCTCCTGATTGGTCGTGTATACAGTACTTGTACACAATAGAACATGCTGTGGAAAATATCGCATATTATAGGTGTTAATCGATCTCTGTAACTCTCTTATCTCTGTTCTAGGAAGATTCTAGTAACTGCAGGTTATGGGTTTCGATAATCCTTCTTTTTTGTCAGGAATTAAAAGAACCTAGTAAAATAATCTTCTTCTTTTAATGTTATCAAACATAAACAGTTTTTATCCGTACATTATTAAAAAATTTTTAACAGTTTTGTGTTGCTTGGCCTGACTTTTGGAAATGTCCCGAGATTGGAACTGTTGTGTGAAGTATTGTTAATTTTGATACTTGATCTTCATATCCAATGTGGGCAATTTTAAAAATGAGGATCAATGCTTAGTCTTTTATTTTAGTTATCCTAAATGTTTACCACTACAGAATAGTTAAGAGGAATTAGATTAATCCATAAGTCTGCTTAAGATGGAGATTAATGCTCACACCACAGAAGTTCAAAAGTTCTGTCTTCAGAAGAAATGGATTTATAAGACTACCAAGGATCTGGATTGTTATTTGTTGTTGCTGTTTGAAGCAACCCTTCTTGTTTCTGTTAAAGTATACTTACTACATAATAACCTTTTTAATATTTTAGGGAATAAGAAAATGGATGCCCTGAAATCTGGAGAGAGTGGTTCCCGACGTGGATCCTTGGTTCCTCCACCTCCTAGATCTAGACAGGGCAGTGTTGTTATCGGAGGAGCAGAGAGACGAGGATCCTACTATGATGACGGAGTTACAACCAGGTATCAGTGGTCGCTGATTATATCAATACAATGAATACGACTTAATCTTAACAACGATGCGTTAACAAGGAAACACAGAGAAGATGTTAATTGACAACTTCTCTTTGTTTAAGTCTTTCTTCTGTTTGTAAGCTAGGTAGAAATCTGCTGTTTGTAAGCTAGGTAGAAATCTGCTGTTTGTAAGCTAGGTAGAAATCCTGTTTGTAAGCTAGGTAGAAATCTGCTGTTTGTAAGCTAGGTAGAAATCTGCTGTTTGTAAGCTAGGTAGAAATCAAAATTAAGATAGAAAGTTGTGTTTTTATTGTATTGACATTTACAACAACGACTGCGTTAACACATAGTGAGGGTTCCCTCAAAGAATAAGACTCTAAAGACGACCTGAAACTAGATGTGTGATGTGATGATTTCAAGTTTCATGGCTTATTTATTTATTTTGAGAAAGAACAAATTTAGAATAATTTCAGGGAATCAGCAATTTAAGGAAACAGACAGTTTAAATTTGTTACAGTCGTCTATGAAGTCTCATTCTTGTGGGTAACCCTGTAGCTATGGAATAGTTAGACCACTGTTAGACTCAAGTTATGATTTAAACAGTCCAATATACATGAAACACAGCACTGTGCAGTGTACACAGACCCATTTTATCATAAAACGTTTATTTTTAAGCCACTGGTAAACCTATTTGCTTTGTAACAATATCAAATACGCTTAAATTACCGGACTGTCGTCTTCCTATATTCAGCTGTATCATTTGATACAAATTTTAATTCCTGTAGAGATCCCCTTTTCCCCGCCCCGTTGTTTTTTGTAACTAAATAAAGCCAACATCCTTTTTTGCAAAAATGAAATTTTTTTCGACAATTTTAATTTTCTGATATCGTAAGTGACCAAGTATTACTAAATTAATTGATTTTTTGGTACCATCTCAATCTCATTCATATAATATTAAAATGTATAAAATGAAATAAAAGGGAATCCTTTCAAAAAAAAAGGAATAGTTCTTAAAAAAGATAATTTTTACGATTTTTAGATGCTTTACATGTTTTACAAAGTCAGGGGACAAAGATACACAAAATATGTGTTTAAATATTTTTAATCAATTGTCGATTTTGCATTTGGTTTGGTTTGGATCCTATGGAATTAAAAACCAGTCAGCCATTTAATGATAATAATCATTTATTATTCAGCTTTATATTTCTATTAAAATTATTATTATTAAAAATTAAAGAAATTGTAATGGCATCTCCCTGCCTAAATTTGTATCATGTCTGTTTTTAGAAAACTCCAATTCACACAGCCAATCAAATTCCTCCGAACCTTCAAACAACCAATCAGATAATAATTTCAACAGCCAATCAGATTCTCCCAATAATTTGAACAGCCAATCAAAATCTTCCATTCCCTCCGACCAATTAAAATCCCCTGTTACTAGCCAGACACAAAGATCTGTGATGGATTCCAGTTCAAATGTTGGCTCAGGTGTGTGTGCAAATCTGCATCCATTGACCTGATAATTAGTAGAACAGCATGACTTTGTAGATTTATTCAAGATTTCTCACACTTGCAGAGAAATCTTTTCTACTTCTCCTGTATATATACTCCCTGCATGACTCTTTTTCTAAACATATTTATTTTTTCAATTCTAATTTTAACAAAATTCTATAAATAATTACATGATGAAAATATGTTGAAATTTCTGTATTTCTATATCTCATTTTCATCTTGTCATAAACTTTGCGATAAATTGATTTCAACTACGATTTTCGATTTTAAATTGATCAATTTTGTTCAACAATTTATATGTTAACTGTGGGGTAACCGTTACCAATTTTGACTGATAATCGATTAATCTGCGAAAGACTTCGATCATCGTAAAAACAATAAATATAAAAAGATTATTAACAATAAAAAAAATATTTTCCCACAATTTTTCTACGTTTGTTAATTTTGAGATAGCACACATCTTTTAAACGTAGTGAAAAGGAATTAAGTCTTTGCTACAAATTCTGATTTTCTTTGCAAGTCGTAGACCTTCAGATATTTTAAACTTGATTTTCATTAGATCAAATAATCAAAGTTCGAAATATCTAAGGTACTTATCAAGTTGCAAAGATATAGGATTTAGAATATGTATGGCAAAGATTCCATTAATTTAATTTGAAAACTAAAAGAAAAGAACGAACTCCTCTATAGCCCCCCCCCCCCGGTCCTATCCTCTCTACTCCATTCTCCATACTATTAAACTAATGCTTGCCGACATTATTGCATGCTACCCAACCTCCTCTATCCCATTATGCCTGTTTTTTACCAGTTAAAAGTATTTTAGGGTCAACTTGAGACATTTACAGCCCAACACAGCTGTATTTTAACACTGCAACGAAAATAGTGGATTTATTTTTTCTCACATTCATGTTAATAGTCTTCACATAGATTCAGTCTGCTTATAAACAGTCTTATCAATTTTAAGACAGGATTGACCTTTGATGTGTCGCGACGCCCTAAGCTTAGATTTTACCGCTCTAACTTACTTATGCTTTTCTGTAGCCCTTTACATATACATTTTAGCACTGTAAAGCACTTGTTGTTAGCTTTAAATTTTTAGAAGTAATTGGCAAAATTCTCCACGATTTTTGCTTGAGAGTGTGAGACCATTAAATCACAGTGTCTTCACTTCCCAAGTTTCCATCCTTATTTAGAACATTTTTTTTGGAGATTTTTTTTGTGATACATCATTTTTTTACTCTGCATGCTACAACTTTGTTGTCATAAAACTAATTTAAGGGTTGTCAACGTACGTAGTAGTTTCAAAGACTTTATTTAAAGACTTATTTGCTCTTTTCACAACAACGATACACTTTAAACATTTTTCTGAGTATCAATAAGGAAGCCATTTTTAGATCAAAAGAGAAAATGTCTGCCCCTCTCTGTCATTGCCCTTAATGCATAAATTCGCAGAACACAATTGAAATTTTTCATAAAGAAAAAAGAACATCTTCATAATTTTAGCGAAGACAAAGCTACACATATTTTTAAGTGTTGAGCATGTTACGTCGACAGGACCTGGAAGAATTATTATTTCTAAACATTATTTTTCATCTTGTTTTCCTAGATGTCTCCAATACAAGCAGTTCTGCAGGGGAGAATGGACACCCTGTAGATCTAAAGTCAGGTATTAGAATTCTCTTATCAGTATTTTCCAAGATTTAAAAACATTTGCTTCAATGTTTTATCAGAATCAGATAAAGAAACAAGACCGCCGCCAAGGTAGAAACATTCTTGGGAGTAGTCAGGGGCAAATAGAACCCTGCCC